AGAAAAATGGCCGGTTTATAGGGAATACTGAGGTGGCCGACTCGGTGGTGTGGCCGACTCGGTGGTGAAATACGTTACCACCTGCACCGCGCTGATCCGATGTCGTAGCAGTCGTAGGCGTCGACCCGACTAGTCATCCGGGTGGAGGCAAATCGGGGGGAGGTGGAGCCCGCCTTGAGGATTGGGCTTAGAATTGTAATTAGGATGGAGATGGGGATGGAATTCTGGACGTTAGCACACTCCGGTCAGTAGGAGGCAAATTCAAACGGACCGCGCGGATGGCCGTCAAGGGAGTCTCTTCCACGGTTCCTGGTTGAAGTTCGGAAGAGAATCGCGGAGCGTTGAGAAAAGAATTGAAGCTGCAGCATTATTAATCCTGGGAAATAATGGACGAGGCATCCAGGCCAACAAGGTGGTTGGCAGCGCCCCTTTTCTAAGGCCTTCCTTTTCGTCCCTTGTCCGCCTGCCTTTCCGGGCGTCCATCATCCTTTTTCGATTGGATTATTTAAAGATTATTAACAGAAAATAAAATAAGAAAACAAAGAAAAAAAAAGGAAAAGGAAAATCACATCATAATTCCCACTCCAACCGGTCAATGACCCGATCCACGCCATCCAGGCACCTTCTGGTCTCTCGGTCCAGTGTTCAGTCTTCAGCGTTCAGCGTTCATCTGACTTGTCTGGTGCCCTACGCTATCTACCAAGTACCTACACACCTGATATCCGTCAGCTCCCATTCCTCAACCACAGCTCTTCCTCCAACGCAGCTCCAATCTTCCACCGATTTGATTTGTCGAGATTGTCACAGATCAGAGCTTACTCCGTACCAGACAGGCTCGAATTATCGAACCCGGTCATCAACTGTCCGAGCACTCTGGGCATCGCAATGTTAGAAACACGTCCATCTGGCTGACCTCGACGAAGTCCGGAGCTGGACAGGGATTGTCCAGGATATTCATCCATCCCTTCTGGGAGTAGTCAACTATACAAAATGAGGAGGCATCATCCTGTAGCCGGAATCCTGATAGGTATACTATAGTGCATAGTGCCACACGATGCAACGCAACGCAAACTTGAAGTGCCTAGTTACAGACCAAAACCGTTTTCTTCCTGCACCGAGTGAAGGAGAATGTACACACCTACATACCTACCTACATACCTACTGTACTGCACATATCGGCTAGAGGCGCCATGCAAGCATCCATGAAGAACTTCCCGGAAGAGATCCGTGGGGTAAGTCAGTAAGGGAGACAAATAACTGATACTATCTACGGAGTACCTAGTAATTATCTGAGTACACACCGTAAGTTAGCCAGGTAATCCAATCCGGTCGGAATTGAATTTCGAAATCGAAGAATTTCCTAGTTACCCTCAATAGTTACTCCGTTGCTTCGTAACTAACCTAACTCCCCGGGAAAAAATCAAACCTTTCCCACTTCCCCTCAAGATCCAAGAATCAAATAAAAACCCAGAAAGAATCAAGGAAACTTCCACGAAAATTCCAAAAGGAAGAGAGCCCAAAAAGAAAAAATCCAAACCTTCATCTCCAACTCCAACTCCGACCCGATCGAACCAGAAAAGCCAAAAGCCAAGTTAAGTTGCGGGTGCCACGATAAACGGGCGACGAAACGCCGGATCCGTTCAGGCCCCTTCCCTTCCCCTCCCTTTCCTTCCTCTCTCTTCTACCGATATCTTCATCCCTCCTCCTCATCTTGGGCACAAATTCCTCCCAGACACATCATCGGGTTCCTTCTTGATGGGTTTCCCGTCCCTCCATTTGGTTTGGTTTCCGTAGAGATTGATTTGGTCGTTTCGAGTGACCTACACCGTAGTCGGTATTCATCGATTCTTTGGGATCATATTACGGGTTTACAGATCGCCGAAGTATATCCGGACAGAATTAAGCGAGATATATCAGCCCAAAATCCAAGAAGGTACATAGATAACAGAGAGGGACAAAGAAACGAGAGGAGAGATAAACACCCATCTCCTCAAAATATCGACAATCTCACAAACATGTGAAAGAAGCCAAGATCCCGTCAGGCGAGCACGAATTAATCTACAAACCCGACGAAGCGAGGCGAGGCACAACCGGACCAAGACACGATAAGGCGAGGCAGGCAAGTCGATCAATTCCTCACGACCGGTTGGGATCATGCAAGGCAGGGATGGACAGACACTTCATCCTTGGACCCAGAAGAGGCGACCCGACCCTGGCTCCGTGGGGATCGTATATACTTATGCTGGTGTGATTGGATCTGTGGGTTTGCTGGGCTGGTAGATAGTGAATAACGATGGCGTGAAATCGTGATGGGCGGCGAAATATCTGCCTTGCCAACAAAGTGAATAATGAGTGACTGTTGAGGGGTTAAGTAGCTAGCACTAACTAGACTAATTAGTGGCAATGTACCCCGTACTTACTAGGACTACTAATGTTCACGTCCGTCTTGAACTTTTCTCAATTTCCTTGGTTGACGGTGACATGCATGAGAATAAAAAGGTAAAATAGAACCCCCCGGGGTTATCAGACAGCAAAAGGGAAAAACAAAAACTGTTGTAGAAAACGCCATGTACCAATCGCAACGCACCAGATCGCCCGTGAATCACCAAGCTAAGAAGAAATCAAATATGAAATAATCAAATTAAACCCCCATTTCCTTCTCCTTCCCGGCGTCGGGGTCCAGGTAGGTCTCTTTCTCGGCCGCCTCGTACTCCCCTACGAGGTCCATCACGACAGCGCGTGCCTCGTCGAACTCGCCTAGTCCGTCGGTGAAGGGACTCTCCTTCTTGTACTGTTCCAGGAAAGCGTTCCGCTTCCGCAGGCGGTCGTACTGCTGGACGATCCGCTTGAACAACGTTGCGACCGACGTGTGGTTCGCCAGCATCAGTCCGCTGACTCGATGCGTGTTCTGCATGTACGGTGATTTCTTGGTCAGGGCAACCTGGATGCTAGCGGGACCCCAAGGAATAAACGACGCCAATCGCCGCTCGCGAATTCGGAGCAGGGATTTGTGCACGTCGGTGGGATCGGCTTCACCCTGGATGATGTTGAGAATACTCATGTAGCAACTGGTTTTCGTCGGGTTAATAGAGACCATGCGGTTCTTGGGCTGCAGCAGACGTCGCATGACATCAAGCACTGTCGTCTTCCGGATCGTTTTCGCCTGCTCGATATTGTCGCCTGTGAATGGCGTGTAGGAGGTGATCAAGAAGTGGCTGCGAGGCGTCGGGATGAGAGAAGCGATGATGCCGACGAGGTCATTGTGCATATATCCGGGATAACGGAGGGTTGTGGTGGAGGCGGACATGACGGTAGAAACCTGATGGTAGGCAAATTAGCAATGAAAGACCTACAAGCTGTAGCAAGCACAGTAATACTCACCAGTTGGTTCGTCTGTTGGAACGAAGGCTCCTGCACGTGAAGTCTGTCCGCAACGATCCTCGACAGTGCTCCGTTATCCAAAACCACCTAAAGCCACACTTTTAGCTTCTTCCACAAAACATCGCCCAGATGGTTTGGGGTTGGGATCTTACCACAGAGTCGGCATTCTGCGTCAACCTTCTCATCGCAAGCAAACTGTTATACGGATTCACCACAACATCTGCCGATTGGGTATCCGGGAACACGGAGTATGTCTGGATCAGCTTCTTCGGAAATCGGTCGTTCATCCGCTCCAGAATGAAACTACCCAGTCCAGAACCGGTACCACCTGCAATGGAATGTAGAAACATGAATCCCTGTGTCGAGTCAGCGGAGGCCGATCAATTCCTTGTCCAATATATCCCTACCTCCAGCGAGTCGCTACCGTCCGCTTCACGGTCAATCATGTCGAAGATTTCCTCTTGCACCACTTCACCGGCAGCATAGCCTGCACCCCAGTTGTTTCCAGCGCCAATTCCTTGTTGTCCGATGAAGAAGTTTTCGGGATTGTAGATGTTCTTGTAAGGACCGGATTGTATACCGTGGAGGACCTGTGTTATAGAAACTCAGCATGTCGTTGGTTCGAAGGAATATGGGGATTTCTCGGGATGGTCATCCGCAAAAATGGCATCATACCCTAGGTTCTAGATCTAGCAAGATCGCTCGGGGGATGTATCGCGTATCGTCACTCTAGACAGGACTGATCAGTATCTTTCTCCTCCTAGGGCCAGAGGCCATAGAGATAAGCCACGCAGCCGGGTCGGTATGTACCTGGTAGAAGAAGACATCCTTGCGATCGCCGCCCTCCGTCGCGAATTCCTCCAAGTTTCCATCCTGACTGATTCCATGTTCCTGGCAAAGCTGCTGCCAGAATTGGCCACCGACTGCAAATATCGTATGTCAGCGACGTCAATTTGATATACATGCTGCTTCGAGAAGGCTAGGGAAAAGCGCAAATGTGGATCGAGGGCATTCGTACCGTTGTTGCCGCACTGGCCGGCCTGGATCGTGATTATTTCTCTGCAGCGCGGACAATTGTCAGTGATATATAGTTCACATGGCAAGGGAGTCGGCCTGAAGGATCGGGGGCGTGGCACATACCTAGGCATCTTGGGGGAGGCCGCTGGGGGTAGTCGATGGTTGACGGCCCACGCGTAGCGCGCCGCGGGGAAACTTCAATTGGAGCTGATGGTGTCGTTGCCTCAGGCGCCAAACAGCTTATCTACCCCAACACACGGTATTCTTCTTATGGGGTGAGCTGTTCTTAATAATAAAGACAGAAGAGAAAGGAGTCATGGACAATTAATGGAATTACCCATTTTCTTCTCTTATTGAATTAGATATTAAAATTGACTGATTTTGGCGCCTTGGGCACCACTAATGGACACTGCCGCGTAAACAAGGCAATAATTACCTACAGCTTCCTAGCCATGCTCTCGCTGAGTTGGTTAACTGACTTTGGAATGCGATATATTATTTATTTATGATGATACTTCATGAGGGGTTTTGTTATCTTCAGGACTTTGCCTAGTACCATACATACCTCTTCATAAGGAATTGCCTCTCGACCGGGAGGTTCAAAATCCCGCCTTGCACGCCGTTACCAGCAGCCCAGCACCGGCAACCACGCCGTCAACAATTCGGACCTGCTTCGCTTGTTTCGGTCCGTAGGCCTTGATGCAGCCTTCTCGCACCGCTTCCTCCATACCTGCCATGCCGGCACATCCCATACAAATCGCAGTCAATGGATCAGGTGTACTCTTGATGAGCTTTTCGGTAGCCTCGCTGATTCTCCGCTTGACTTCCGCCGGAGGTGTAGTATGTAGTTCAACGGCCGTAAGTCCCGTCGTTTCTACGCCGGCGAAACGGCGGGTCGGGTTTGTGGCATCCCCGGAACGGATGAGCATTTCAGCAACCGCCTTGCTAAGTTCCTCCTTCCAGACATTCCCTGTGGAGATAATTCCGAATGTGTCCTGCGCCTGAGTCTTGCCATATCCCTGATCGCCGACAAGTTGGAACGAGCTAATCAAAGACAGCGACGTGACAACACTTGCTTCGAAGATGCCGGTCACGCATTTCCTCCTCGCTGCGGGTTCCGTCGCATCCCAGGGTAAAGCGCTGTCCTCCAGATTGATAATTGCTTTTTTCAACATACCCACGAGGGGGTGAGCGGAGTAGCACGCCACAAGGAAGGCGTCATATTTGGGTATCAATGGCTCCACGAAGGGCATGCAGTGCAACGCCGATTTCGCCGAATCCTCCCCGGAGTTGATGCTGGGCACGCCATCAACTGTTCGGCCATCCGGAAGGGTGACAGATTCCGACGGGGCTGTGAAGTAATCGAACTGGACGTCCGAGAAGCTGAGTTTTTCCACGATGGGGTTTAAGGCATCCGTCATGTGCTTGGAAGTGTTCGGGTTGATGACCAGGATAGCGAACCGTCTGCCAGTGGTGGAAGCCATGGTGGGGCAACGTGATCGGCAATATGAATGGTCGCCGGATGTTGAAGGAATTCGGAGTCGGGGATGATAAGGTAGATGGCAGTTGAAGACGGTGGATTTTAGCGAATCGCTAGTAGGGAAGGAAGTGGGTGGAGGTTAGCTTGCAGAAGAGCAGCGGCGGAGCGCTGCATACTGACGGATCGGCACTATGAGGGGCCAGGAGTGCAAGAACTTAAAATGTCCAGGTGGTACTCCGAAACCCTTCCTCATCGAGTTACTCAATGCGGATGAGATTCGGAGGAAAAGATGAAGAAATCGGCAGGACGGCAGTTGGTGGAAAGTGGTGGATATCGAATGCGGGGGAGCCGGGCTTGGTATCTCCAACATCCCACTTTAAAGTCTACCCCGTACAACATTGGCATCCCTCAACACGCATCCAGATATCTGTGAGAAACCTCAGTCCTTATCGGAGACTATCTCATCCAATAGAGGTAACACCTTAAACTTCATGTATCCCATCCATCAGCATGATTCCTGGGCTGACGTGATCTCTGCACAACCCCACTAGTAACACGCGCCGATCTTCCAAAATGCCTTTGGTAGCACAGAATCCCACGCCGAGGGTGATCCTTGGTCTTATGACATTTGGACCCGAAGAATCAAGGGCGGCCCGGATCACATCTCTGGACGAGTTCAACAAGTGCTTGGATTACTTCCAGCAACAGGGTTTCAACGAGATTGACACCGCACGGATCTATGTGGACGGACTGCAGGAAGCCTTTACCGCTCAAGCGAAATGGAAGGAGCGTGGTCTGACGTTGGCAACCAAGTGGTATCCCAGAAAACATGGAGATCACAAGCCCAACGTTCTCCGGGAAAATATAGAACTCTCTCTGAAAGAGCTCGACACCAACCAGGTCGACATTTTCTATCTGCATGCTCCGGATCGGTCTGTTCCTTTTGCGGAGACCTTGGAAGCCGTCAATGAGCTGCATAAGGAGGGCAAATTTGTGCAATTGGGTCTTAGTAACTACACGGCATTTGAGGTTGCGGAGATTGTCACTCTTTGCAGTGAGAGGGGATGGGTGCGCCCAACTATTTATCAGGCCATGTATAATGCCATTAGTAAGTTGTTTCTGAGCCCGATACCTGGGTCACCTAGAACTGGATCTAACTGTGGTATCTGCAGCTCGGTCCATCGAGACTGAGCTAGTTCATGCATGCAAGCGGTACGGCATCGACATCGTGGTTTACAATCCGCTCGCCGGCGGGCTCTTCTCTGGCAAGTACAAGGCCAATGAAATTCCCCAGGAGGGCCGGTATGGCGCCAATTCTGTCATTGGGGAACTGTACCGTAAGCGCTATTTCCAGGACGCGACGTTTGACGCCCTGCGCGTCATCAGGCCCGTTGTCGAAAAGCACGGATTGACATTGCCGGAGACTGCGTTCCGTTGGCTTCACCACCATTCCGCTCTCAACATGACAGAAAATGGCCGGGACGGGATTGTGATTGGTGTGAGCAACTTTGCGCAGCTAGAGACCAACCTGAAAGACGTCCAGAAAGGCCCGCTTCCGGAAGAGGTTGTCGAGGCTTTGGACCAGGCGTGGTTGATCACAAAGGCCACCACTGCCGACTACTGGCATCTTGACCTGAAATACACCTATGATACCAAAGCGTTGTTCCATGGCAAGTCAAGCGCTTAGTATTGTGACACAATTATTAAAATGCATACACACCAGCTTTCTTACACAGCTCAGACACTTGCTCTTTCCATTTCAGTACACTTTGCCGCTTTCCGCTTACTGAGTAGATCTGAACATTCCTGGAGTGGATTATTAGATGAGGGCTGAGTAAAGGAGGAAGCAGTTTAAGTATTAGAGCTATACTAGTGTCTTTTTTTAATACTTTATATTAATCATCTAGACTTATTTTGGGGGCAGTGACCGAGTGTTAGGTCTTAGAGGGATAATATTTGGACTCCAGATCATGTTGCTATTCGTCTGTCCTTTCAGCCTGTGATTGATATCTTGACACACGTGCTTGGACAGAGAGGTTCTCCTCCTCGTAGGTCGGATCCGTTTCGCGGTATTTTGTGCGACAGAATATAAGATCCGAACGGCGGTAGGCCTCGAGTGAGATTCTTTCTGGAACGTTGATAAACATGTCTCTTTTCCACTCAGTGGCGTTTATAAGGTAGCGAATAGGGAACGGTTCGTTGGCGGAAAGATCTGCAGAGAACTGCTCAAAGACAACGTCTCTCCAGATCTTGTTGAGGTTGCGCGTGGTTATAGTGAAGATCTTGTAAGCTGGATATTGCGCTCCTATTTATATTCGGGCTCAGTTGGGGTAATTGAAAGCGGAAGGAAAGCGAGACCTAGCAGATAAATAGCGATGTCATGATAGTTCTCAGCTTCCGACGCGAAAACTTGGAATTATCCTTGCTATCTAGTGCGGGCGGTTGTAGCGTCTGCCATCGATGTCACGAACTTATGGGACATCTCCATCTCCCCAGATTGGTCGGAATCAGCACTCGATGGGTGGAAAGACAGCTTATACTGACCTTTTCTCTTTCGGTCTCAGGCAAAAGAGTATATCGCGGCGTCAACGCGGCCGGAGTCATTCACTGATCATACAAGTCGAATCTGTACTACAAACGTTCGGCAAATATAGGCTACTCTCTTTCACTCCAAGCCGTTTTTGTCGCTTATCTTTACCCGTATGTCGTTTCTAACTGGATAGCAAGATAATATAAGGAAAATCATACAAGCTTACTGAACGATATGCCATTGGCTTCGATCAAGCCACACTCAAAGATCAGACAGGGTGTAGTATGAGCTGCGCTGCATAGCCTATTGTACACCCGGCTCGGATATGCTCCATCGAGCCCGAGGTATTGTAGGCCCATATACTGCTTCCGTATTGTAGTTATAATCAAATGCAACTTTCTTTTCTCTTACAAACATCGCTGAGCAAGATTTCTATCTCACGATGGTAGGGTACCCACGATTCAGGTCCTTATTCTCCAATAACCATATTCAATACGATAGAGTGGAGAGTGAAGAGGATAATGAGTTGATTCCTGGGTCGACATCAGGAACTAAAACCAATCATGGAAGACTCATGGCGACCCTATCCCAGGTGTCTTTACTGTGGATAAATATTACCCTTCTAGGTATCACGGCGATATTTTTCTTTGGATCTCTCACGCCAATGGGGTGTCACAGCTCGAACACTTCTCTGAGGGACTTCATATCGATGCCTTGTAAGCACTGAAGAACCAAATCAAAAGCACACATGTGTGATGAATGACCGGTATAGCACCCGCCATGGACGACACCGACGTCTCCTTTTCCACGGAATGGATAGATGGCAATTTTCTTAACAACGATCCACTCAGCATATTCCGGCAAGAGCCCAGCCTCGAAGTAGACATCGCTTGGTTCAAACTCGCCGATACGAGGCCGATTCCTCTGACGCGGGAAGATGTTTTGGCCATTGGAAAAGACCCAGAGAAGTCGGTTAAACTGGGGCTAGAATTCGGCCTGGGTCCGGACTTATACGCAGGCCGGATTGACGTCTTCCACCAGCTGCATTGCTTGGATGCGCTGCGACAAGAGGCATACTTTGAGCATTACTATCACAACACGTACCCAGGCGGATACAACCAAACCACCAAGAAGCATCGGGCTCACCTATCGCATTGCATCCATATTATTCTGCAGAATATCCTATGCCACGCAAACACGGATATTCTCACACATATCTGGACAGATGCGGTCGACCATCCTTGGCCGGACTTCAACATCCCGCACAGATGTCGAGACTATCGGGCGTTGATGGACTGGCAACATCGTCATGCCGTGGACGAGGGGTTATTTGTTAAGATGAAGAGACCAGAGGACCAGGAGCCTCGCCGGACGAGCAGTCATTTCAAGAAGATTGTCAATCCGGAAATGTATGATCATCTTGAAGATATCGTGGATGATGGGGACATTGCATAGGACTATGAAAGAATGAGAGCGGGTCTTCTATACAACTTCTCCAACGCAAATGTTACCGTATCGGTTGGTCAAAGGTTCATGTAGCACAAATATGAATCAACCGATATCAATTCCTCGATGGTCTAACGGTCATGATTTCCGCTTGTCACTCAGCAGAGAACGAGCGCGGGAGACCTGGGTTCGACTCCCAGTCGGGGAGGTTTTCTTTTTTGTCTCTTTTCTTTTTGTCATTTTTTGGGCAGAAGGGTGGTTGGCGGACTTGACAATGAAGCATAACGGAGTAATTGTTGCATGTTCACTGCTTCTGGCAGTCTTGTACATAATTTTAAAAATGCACCCGACAGCAATCTCAAGTCCCTGCCACACCGCCTTCCATCCCCCTGACTAAAACCCAGGCAGAAATAAAAGGCGGCGTTACGAGCGGTAAGTGAGCGGACCAACCAGCATGTTTTGCCAGATGGCGGCTGCGGTCTGCCGTAGTCTCGGAGTGGCTGACATGGCCGCGAGCTGCTTCGGAACGGACCAGACGGCATCCTCAACAGCTCTAGTCAACGAGAACCCTTGTCGCGAGTGGTTGTGACATCTTTCTTTTCCAGCCTGATTCCTTACTGGCCTTTTGCTCTCTTCAATCGATTATCACTGGATCATCACTCCTGCAGCTTCTCTTCTCACCTTCCAGGTTCTCCGTATCATCCTTCATCATGGCGGACAGCGAGTTCGCGCCCAAGTTCTCTCCCTTCTTCTCGTTTGTGAGTATTCATTTTTTGGGTTATTTCTCATTTATCGAAAACATGCTGATGAGAAAAATCAGGCGGGTATCGCAGCTGCAGTATGTTCATCCGACGAATCCTCAATCCTACCGATAACGCTAACGGCCTCTCGAAGATGATCTTCGGGAGTATGTCTTCCCCCCTACCTCGTCTAAACTTGATAATGGTCCCCGACTTATAACCAAACAGCGATGGGAGCCGCATATGGAACGGCAAAGGCTGGAATTGCCATTTCGGGTGTTGGAACATTCAGACCGGATCTGATCATGAAGGCATGACCTGGCTGAGATACTACCACTTGCGTTCCCTACTAACTGAGTCAGTCTTTGATTCCTGTGATTATGTCCGGTATCATTGCGGTGTACGGTCTTGTTGTCGCCGTCGTTATTCACGGTGATCTGGATCGGGACCATAGTCAGGCTCTGTATACGTATGATCAACTCCCCAGCCAATCTCACACTTTCCCCGTGCTGACCCTCCTTTAAAGTGGATTCATGCACCTTGGAGCAGGGTTGTCGGTTGGATTTACCGGTCTAGCTGCTGGATACGCCATTGGAATTATTGGAGATGCGGTAAGCCCTACTTCTAATGCAAGACCCATGGCTTTATGGCACTAACGATCTGCGTAGGGTGTGCGCGCATATATGCAGCAATCTCGCGTCTACGTGGGAATGATTCTCATTCTTATTTTCGCTGAAGTTCTTGGACTTTACGGGTATGGTTTCCCTCTCTGTGACAGTTCATCGGACAAGGAATTGCTGACGCTAGCTAGCCTCATTGTTGGTCTGATTCTCAACTCGAAGTCCAGGGCTTAATCCTGGTGGCTTGGCACATTTGGTTGAATGACATGCTAGATGTGAGTTGAGCTCATTTCTTCGGATGTCGAGATTGTACCATCAAAAATCTACCGTTCTATGTGTATATCCTGTTCAGGACTGGCCGGGGATAAGGGCAACCTGGATCAATTTCGACCAGCTAAGCTTTTAGGTTGAGACTCTGTCATCATCCACCCATGACCGGGGACCATCAAGGCTAGTATGAGGAAAGAGGCGTCCCACTGAACCTCGGGATAGGGAATATGTATGATCTTATAGTCAAGGCGCAGGTAATGCTCATTTGCCATAGATAAACGCCCTCTTAAATATAACGAGATACCACCACGTCTGTTTCGGGGTTCACCATGGCACGAGGCCGCCAGTTGAACCAGCTGTGTCGGAGAGTTTTTCTTTTGTCCCCAAAACTGAGTAACCATGGCTGGTTTTTTTTTTTTTTTTTTTTTTTTTTTCAATTCAAGAGGAGTAAGTCAAGCTGGCAGATCTTCATGGCTTTGTTTGAACCTTCTAGTGTGATTGGATTTTGGTCCTTTATTTTGTGCTTTATGCCCGACATCGGATTAGACTGCTGGTCTGGGACTAAGTCAACAAATACCATCCGGTGACTGAATGTTTCTCTGGGACTAGCGCTTATGGTCAGCAATATCACCGGAATCAACATCCCCTCAAGCCAGGATGATTTACGCCAGATTTCCGATTTTGAGGGGTTGCTTCATTCCTTGTCCTAGTTTGGCATTCGGAATTCCTGACAGATGACCCTGTACTTGGGAATTTTGGTTTTGTGTCCCTGTAAGCTCACCAATGGGAGACACGACATAACTATAAAGAGACATTCTGTTGCATTGCAGACCCGTTTTTGCATATGGTAGGTGGCTTGGCCACTTGCATGCCGCATGTCTTGCTTGCTCGTAACCCATTGAAATATAAGCTGCTCGGGTGAAGGTCGTCTTTCCCCTACTCGTGGCGTTCCACATTCTCCGATTGGCATTGGTCTCGAGGCTCTGCGGGCGGCGCGAATGAGGAATTGTTGCTATGAACTATGCTGAAAGCATGTTAACATCTTCTGACGCAAAGATCAGCGAGAAACACATCAGCACGGATGCTGTGTGACGACGAGCAACCGAAGGGCTGATATCATGCGCTCCATGTCGATTGGAAGATGCTACATCCCTGGACAAACAGGACGAATCGCGACCTAGACGGGTTTGAAAGTTGGGTACAGGTGACACCAGTGCGTGGCTTACTACATAGCAGTGATACCATTGGACCATATCCCTCTTTTGGAGCAGGCTCTTGTCGGCCTAATCCGAGTGCTCCTTTGGCATGCGAAAATTATGCTACCACAAAGGAAATGTGGAGAAGACAGACAAAGATACCTTGACTTAATGGACTGGCTTGGATATGTCCGAATAGAAAAGGTAAGCAGGCGGGCCGATGTTGTTTGGAAGCTGAATCCACAAGAATACCTATCACTCTACCAGGTGTAATAGCCGACCTATCTACCCTCACCGCTAAGAGTCATTTCAAGGACTTCCAGCAGCATCGATGGCGATTACCCGTGCTCACAAGTCCCAAAGAACGGGCGTGAGGGCATCATTGGCATGTGTGCAGGTCAGTATCTATTGAAATATATCTAATGCTCTACGTCGTTCTTCGAGTCTGATATGAAAAAGTGTCGAAGCCAGCATGCGAAATGTGGTGCTGAGATGCCCGTCTGTAGTCGCTGCCGACAAGATGGGAAGCCCTGCTTTTATGTTCGATCTCGTCGTAGTGCTATTGCCAAGGCAAGCACTCCATCGCTTCCGATTTCAGATACCAGTAGCGACGTTCTTTTCTCTGCGCCATTAGCAACAGCACCTATCTTTCCCATACCGGCGAGCGACTGTCTTCCAATCAAATATAGAGCATTAAGTGCCGTACCACCTGTCCAGGCAATGGACGGCTCTTGTCCTGGGGAAAGTGAGCATGCTACCTGTTACAGATTTATAGACGCATATTACAGGTATGTCGGTAGCCGATCTTAATCCACTAAATCGTCTAGGCAGTAGGATCTCGCTAAACTTCTGTCCTCAAAACCAGTAACTTTCACAATGCGCATCCCTTCCTTACGCCACATCACCATTTTTTGGAATTTAACGAGACTAATGCCCAGTCTCTAACACACCTTCTTCCTGTTGTGCATTATATTGGATCTCTATATATTAATGATGGAACTGCAACATGGCTGAGGGAGGTAGCTTTGAAACAATTGCGTATCACGGACCTCACGATCAGCAGTGTACCGTTGAGTGGCTATACCACCTTGGCCTTCCTTCTTCTTGCCATTGCAACCTATGGACAAGATGACCGACCCCAAGCGCGCCTATTGTTGAATCGCGGTATGCAGATGGCCATTGAACTAGGGATGAATCGACGCAGTTTCGCCGCCACTGAGCCAGATCCTGCTTGGGCCGAAAGCTGGAGACGTACTTACTGGGGTTTGTATATTACTGATGTAATCATAGCCGGCTTTTGGCACGAGACTAATATCAGGTCGGTTTCCTTGATAAGTGATTGCATACATCGGGCCTTAGTATGACTGACCATTGGCAGCTTTTGTGACAATGAGTCTGATGTCGATCTTCCGTCTGATGATGCTGCGTTTGAGCAGGTTCGTTAAGCTCCATGGTTTGCAATACAGAAATAATGAAACTAATATCCTGATAGCCAAACACTATCGAGCAGTACGAGACTCGAGACTTTGAGGACAAAGTGCCTGTTTTCTCATCATTCACGTACCTGATCGACTTGGTCAAAATCGCCCATTCAGTGTTACATCTTTCTTCTCAGAGAGAAGACCACAGTACTGCTGTCACCAACGCAGACACTATGCTTGTCGCCTGGAAACTCCATCTGCCCGTCGAAAAACAGTCAGCCGTCAAAGAGGATGGAGGAGTAGACCATATGTTGTTCCATGCACACCTCCTTTGGCAAAGGTAGAAACTTCTATCGAATCTTGTTACCATCCACTCCAATAGCTCTGTTTATAACATCGCTAACTGTCAGGATAGCTTGCTCATAACAATACACCAGCCTCTTTCCCGCTTGAACCGCAACTACAATGTCAATTATGAGGACAACTCTTTGATTTCTCCCAGCTCATCCAGCGATGAGTCTCTCTGGGAGGACCAATCTGAACGCCTCCATACACGGAGATCTCTTGACGCTGTGGCGGCAACCATGAACCTCTGCACTCTCCCTATTCCCATAGTCCAACAGTCCCCGCTCACCATCAACTGCGTGGCATTATCAACAATGACGAGCATGATGGAATACCAGTCGATGTTCTCCTTCTCTCACCCTCCTACGCGGGACAAAGTGCGCTTAGGAATAGCCATCCTTAACCAATTCGCGCAGGTCTGGGGCATGGGTGTTAATACCAGCGCTAGGATGAAGAAGATGGCCCGGGAGATCTTCACTATGGTCCAACCGGATCGGATCTCTGAGCCCGGCTTGCTTGTCGACGTGGCTGCTTTTTTGGATCAGAATTTGCTTGCTGCTGCGGACACATGGCCAGACTTTCATTCTGTAGGGTCCTGATTGCAGGTATGGCAGAAATTATATGTAGTGAGGGAATGTATTTACATGAATTTATATTAATGGCGATGTTCTCGGGACCTCCATTCGACTTGAATCACTTGAATATGTGTTTGTCTTCTTAATTCAGCTTATACTTGATATATTGACTAAAACTTAAGCTTTCATTCACAACTACCGACTCTGAATACCTCCTATAGCGAACTGCACCCGATACATCTAACTCTCAATGTGCCCCTTCTCCATATTCGCCCAGGCCCTTGGGAGTCAGTCATCAAGAAAACGCCTTGAAGAAAATCCTAGAAATGTTCGGCATGCTCCATCTCAATCTCCTGGGCCTCTTGGGCCTCATTCACCTCTTCAGCCTCAGCCTCCTCCCGCTTCGCATATTTCCAGGGCCTGCCGTAAATTCTATTGTCAATGTCGGAGTCGCGTTTGGCGTATCGCCAGGGCGTTCCATAGATACGGTTATCGACCTCAGAGTCGCGCTTCGCGTACTTCCATGGTCTACCGTAGATCCTGTTGTCGATATCGGAATCACGTTTGGTGACTTCTATTGCTTGATTAAGTCATTGGCGTGATATGCGGGAGGTGAGAAGAAATGGGCTCAGATGTAGATAGACGACATACGACATAGATTGGGGGGAGGGGGGAAAGAAATGTAAAGAGAAAGAAAAACTGACCAGCCTCCTCTGCTTCGGCCCAAGCTATATTAGGCATGCTCGTAAGTCCTCGGAAACATTTCCAGCGTTCAGTCTCGCATAGCTTTAGCTTACCGGCTGGAGCGGCTAGGATGCCCTGTAGGGAGACAAGGGTGAAGAGCACGGCGGTGAACTTCATGTTGCTTTTTCACTTTTTGACTTGTCAAAAGTGACTGAAAAACTGGTTTGAATGAGACGGTTGAAAGTAGTGGATTGGCCTGCAGTTCTGGATGCGGGTGAGGGAGCATAGATGAAGACAGGTCTGAGGGTATACTTATATCTTGGTCTTCCCCGGATACCTCTTCCACAGATCAGAATATCGGCGCAATGCTGACAATAGGTATTTGCACTAGAGAGATACACAATTGGACGGAACTGGTTTTCCTCCTATGGTCTGTGATTGCGACACAATGCATAGCCTAGGAATATTCGCAGTGAACTTTTTGATGCTCTGCCCAGTTCAAGATACGCAATAAATTTCGGGCAACCTGTAATTGTGTAAGACAAAAAGATAGGCTATCAGGGTAGATATATTCAGGCTATGCAGTCATGCTCTAGACTTTGGGCTATGTGGTGGACTGCTAAGTGATGACAATTATGGCCGGGGGAGGGGGTGGAAGCGGAGGATGCAGACCATTGATTCAAGATAATCAACTATCGTGGACTTAGATAGACCAAATGTAGGATTTGGGGTAATACAAGTGATAGCCGGCTTGTGAAGTGTGAAAGTCTCTTGATAATTGGCCTTCAATTCGTCATACAATCAAATCTCGTAAAATGGTCAATTGTGGCTTTGGCACATACGCAAATCATTCGAGGCATGTTTCTGTTATATCAAGCTGGATAACTTAATTTGATAAATGGAATCAACCGGAAACAATCATTCAACTCCCCGTAATCTCTCTCTCGATTCCATTCTTCTCCGGATCAGAGCAGTACCGATCCACATCTACATATCCGGCATGCATGTCATCCGTCGCCGGCCATCCAACCTGCTTGAGCTGGATATCCCCTTCGCACATAAGTCCGTAGCGCAAAATAGCAAAGCAGTGATCTTGAATAATTAGTATCCATTCATTTTGAATGAACAATCACTGGGAGTTGTAAACTTACTGTCATGTGGCTCGGTCACAATTGTAGTATTTGATTCTTCGGCCGTCATTTGGTTATGCCATCGTCTCCAGAGGACGTGCTAAGCAGATCAATTAGATTATTCCCACTAATACCAGAAAATATTTGAAAATCATACCAAACAATGAAGGCGATGGAGTTTCGAGAGCACTCGAGGATCTCCCGGGTCAGCGCTCTTGACGTGCGCGGTTGAAACGCGCACAAAGTTTGCTTCTTCTAAGGGGATATCATGGATTTTATCTGGAGGATTATTAGCAAGATCACCTCGATTTCAAAGGAGTAGAGGCATAGCGTCATACATTGTTGAACCGTATTCCAGGCTGCCACAGCTCCAACACTAGGCTCCTTGGTCTCCGAAATATTGAAAAAGTCCCCTAGCTCGAGGAATGTGCCGTCGAAACGAGCCGTCCAAGGGGTGTTTGTCCGTTCAACCACTACTTCTGGGCTGTATGATTTGAATTCTGAGTCATTAGAATCTATATCATGAATATGTGCCAAAGTATGGGAAACTTCTTACTAGGACGGAACATCGGCCATGTCAAGAGGACCGCCGTGTATATCGCCACGAGGAAGACATGAGGTAGCCAAGCCAATGCGCACCGTGACAGACACGAATTTCTTCTCTTTGGGATGAGCTCCTCTGGCCCTGCTTGATGAAGCATTGGGGCTTTCTCTTTGAGATCATGGGTGTCCCATCTAGGTTGATTGTGCGGTTTTGGAAAGGTGAACGGCATGAAACACTTCATTTTGGGGTCTCTAGAGCATACTGGTATACTGCGTGCAATAAGGTGTCTCGATAGTAAGTCATAGAAGACCCTTTTAGTCTAGCATTCCTCGGTGGATATCTCTCCGTAGTGCCGTGACACAGAAAACCGCCGGGATGTGTAGGCTATGAAGGGTGACACAGACCGAAAATCCCGCTGACTGACGGAATAATCCAAGCCACTATATTGTGATAGGCTAGTTGGGTTATGAATCGGACGGTGGCTTGTCGATGATAATTTTGATGACGAGAATGAAGGGGGCGCAACGAGCGGTGGGCGCTTCGTTTTTCTTCCTACATACACCTCGACAAAATGCATCCCTACCATGAAGAAGACAGTAAATCCGCTGAGGAGTCGAGGTTTCTTTCTATCGATGACAATAAGGGACTGCATGTCGAGGAACGGTTAGCGAGTAGAACTCGACTTTGTCCGCTTCCTTGGGCGCTCACGATTATCTTCGGAACACTTCTCGTCCTTCAAAATGTCTATTACTTAGTACAGGGGTCTAGCTGTCATCTAGTGCCGGTATATGATACAGATTTTGGTTTGTCACTCTACTGGTAGCCTTTCATCTCCATCTCCCACTGCTAAGACATATTTTTATTCCAGAACCCATGAAACAGGCCATAAGCTCTGTTAAAGTCCGATTCACTAGCCCTCTCTATATAGACAACAACGGCACTTTCCACCGACAAGAAGAGCCCGGAGCAATAAGATATGTCGGGGGTCCTGAGGAAGAGTTAGACGCCAATTGGGAATCGCTACTCGGGGGTATGTTTCGGTCTCTTCGCGAGGAATAAGGTGGACCGACTAACGAGCACTCGCGATTATAACATTTTAGGTCGGTATTTCCGACTCACAGAACAGGAAACGAACATTCTCAATGAAGATTCCGACTTGCCACCTCTATCACCTTTGAGCCGGAATGGGGAAGAATACTTCTTCGCAGGTATCGACATGCTGCATTCACTACACTGCCTCAATGCCCTGAGAAAACACCTCGACCCGGGATTTTCAGATCATGTAGCTATGATAGCCCCGGAGATGAGGCAGCTGCATCTTGGTAAAATGATGTCCTTTAAGAGTTAATGAATGTGAACTGACAATGGGTAGATCATTGCGTGGAACAGTTAAGGCAGTCCATAATGTGCCATGGAGATGCAACCCCTGTGACCCTAAAGCCCATACTTCAGGATTCGTCAACTCCAGCCCTTCTTGGGGAGACTGAAAGATTGCATACTTGTAGAGATGCGTCTCGTCTGCGAGAGGAGACTACAAAGAAAGGGCAGCTGCGGGGGACAAGCGAGACGATTGTTGGATAGTTTGGCTACCTGGTTATACAACCTGTTGATTACAAACTCAATTAATGCATGCTTGACTCAATATTGACACTATATCGTATACCTATCTACCCATGCATACCATGCCTATGAATTTGCTCGGGAGAAGGATCGATATTCCCTGGAGCATGTGGCACATCATGCTTCTTAGCCCACTCATGGATTATGTCGAAATTTCTACATTCTCGAACACCGTCGCCTTCTGCGATATACGTCTCGGTAGTTGCGTTCCATCCGACTGGTCCGATATTGACGTCGGCGAGACACATGAAAGACTGTCGAAGGTAGTCAAAGCAGTGGTCTGTGGCTCGAGCTGTTAGTTCATTCCTTTAGATATGATCATTGTGAGAATGCATACAAGTGTGTCGTCTAATGATATCAGCGTTTTCGCCATACTCTCCCTTAAGATCTGTATAGAAGGCGAGTCTAATGCGATTCTAGATATTTGCATCAGTAAATTGTTAATTGAAAACAAGTCCAGATCTAGATTACCTACCAAACAATGTAGTTGATGAAACACCTCCAACACTCCGACGTAGGACCCTGGAGAAGAGTTGTATTGCCGAGCTGTGGGTGCGCCTAAATATTTTGCCTGTTGCTCGTTGAGATGAATCAATCGCACTGTTTCCCACTGCTATTAGTTTTAATGAATGACAATAATGTTGGTTAAGTCATGATATCCTACCGTCCATGAGCGAGTCCCAAGCGGCATTGGTCTTTTCGTCCGGTTCTCCGAAAAACTCGGTCCTTCGATCCTCAGTTATACCCGTGGAAAATTTGCGCATCTCCATTTCGACGGGAATATCGGCCGGTCCCAGAGCCTTTACAGATGGAATGTCATTCCGAGAAATATCCTGCTCGAGTGTCGTCGCTGGTGTCTTGGCCCATTTCTCAGAAGTCGAGGCGTTTCGCCAAAATGCCAATGTTGCGAGGTTTGTAAGAAGAAGTAGTAGTATCAAGATGTATTGAACTGAGATACAGCGTTTGTAAAAAGACTTGTGTGGTCGAAATCCGTGAGCGCTGCATTCATCGTCGAGTTTGTATATCTCCTCCTGCTCTCGATCTCTCTGTTCGCTATCGACGGGTCGATACTTGTGCATGAACATAATTAGATCTCGGTTACTTGCGTCGCTTGGAAGAGTAGGGGAAAGACTTCAAAGTCAACAAGTGCCCAAACAAGAGGGGACCGACCATCTTCGGTCAATATTAACAATTGCCGATGTTGATCATGTTAGAAGAATCAAGGCTCGCCGGCATAGCCTATCTCTCCCGGTACCACAACAAGTCCCCGGATACATAGCCTAACTTGATTTTTGGCTCATTAAAAAAGTATGCAATTGAGTTGTCGATCAATGCAGATCGCTATCATGGATGGCGACTTGACCATGATCGAGTTGGCGAGTAACTCTAAGAGGCTGAGTTCTTTACTCTGGTGACAATCCGTTCTACCTATCTATTGCCTTTCTAATTCTACCATCGACATACCTTCTGCTGTGAGTCAAAGATGTCCAGGAGGATCGGTTCCTATCAGTCTGTACCCCAAGAGGAGCAAGACCTCGATGAATGTCGAGAAGTATCTCTTGAAAATGGAAATGGAGATTCCACTTCACTCAGCCCCGGCACCTACAGAGACAAGGAGACATCTCAGATCAGTCTACTGTACCATCCGGCACCGTTGAATGAAAATTCTCTTCGTCTCTATCGCCGTCTATCCTTCCATCTTGTCGTGACAAACACTGTTACCATCCTATTCTCTTTCTGGATCCTATACCTCTATCGAGAGTGTCTTCAGCAAGGATGTAAGTACCAGAAACCCCAATACGAGATACGAGGAGTAGCAGAGATCCCAGTGCAATGGACGACACGCAAGTTTCGCACCGGAGTCGAAGAGGGAGGACTCACGGACTTCATCGGAGGCTGGAATGAGCATACAAATGCGGCCTGGGATACGATTCTCGACGGTAAGGGACTCCTATGTGAGCGATATCAAGCGAGTCATGCTAATGATGGTATTTCCCAATAGCTGGACTCATCAAGCTAACGGAGGACCAAGCGAAGAGACTCCCCTTCAACACAACTAGAAATCCTCAAGACCCCTCGACCTACGTCGGCGCCCTTGAAGTCTTCCATCAGCTACATTGTCTGGTTCGTGCGACATTTCTTTCCATTTCCTCGGCTAGACTACTTAGCTAGAAGCAGATTTATGGGGTAACTGACTGAGAATAGAATAATATCCGTCATGGATACTACGTTCCAGAAGCAAGGGATCTGGTGCCCGAGCCAGGAAAGCTCCTAACACATGCCGGTTAGTTATTCTTCTGCCTGGAACGAGGGAACGGTGCTCACGGTTAACCCCGAGCCTACCTAGATCATTGCTTTGATTATTTGCGTCAGAATATCATGTGTTGGTCGGATACTACCATTTCATCGCTGGCTTGGTCGACCATCCTTGACGGATACTATCCTCGGTTTGACCCGGTCAAGGAATGTCTTGATTTCGAGCAGATACATGCGTGGGCAACGCGAGAGGAGAATTGGTTGCCTAATGATCCGGTGCAGGATGGTTCTGGTTAGAGGAAAATTCTCTTCATTGAGTCAATTTATCTTATACGTCATGAAATGAGTTGATACGATAGAAGAATGACTACAGAACAATGTCATGCATTTCTCCGAAAGAATTCTCTCGAGGAGCACATGTGACAGACACTGAATATGCAATTTTTACTATTCAACTTGGACAAAAGACCAAAAAAGAGGGAACGTTCTGGACTTGGGTAACGCTGATCTAGAACCGTCGGAATGCCGAGTTCTTTTCGCAGCAGCTTGACTAGATAAATGCAGCCACCTTCCATCCCTTCCAGCATGATAAGTTCGGATTTGTTTCTATTTATCCGGATATACTGTGGTAGACCATCCCTTACTGTCACCAGCAATTCCTTACCAGCTGACAATAATGAATCTGCTTCGAGATCCGGCCAGCCCTAGGCCACGCCGGCCCCGGGGTGTTTTAGCCGAAGCTAGAGTGAGACAATACACTTATGAGACTAACTATCGAGAATAAAACAGTCTGGACGCAACCTACCTGTAGGTTGTAGGTGAGTGACTTTGATAGAATTTGACCACCTTGTAGCATCCCTCCGAAGGTAGTATTCAAGTGTGAGCAACTTCCATCCTATTACCCCTTTTTGCTCTAGGTAAGTCTGATCATATTTGGCACACACATGCTGCGCTCCACTCAAATGGAGGATTCCCCAGAAGACAGGGTCCAAAGACGTTTATTGCCGGTCTCCCGGTGTTCGACTCACCCTCGCATGCTGCATCTCCTCCAGCCTCACCCTTGCGTACAATGATTTCCAACAACCTCCATCTGCACCTCCTCTAGGGTAGACGAGGCGAAAGGTCGCACCGCACGAAATTTGCATGATGAGAAATCACTTGTCAAACTGCGCGGTAACTCCTATTAGTTCGATTTGAAGGCCCGGTATCCCTTTCGGTGTAACGCATTCCAGCAGAATCCACGATCTATGCAGGGATGTCGGGGAACCAACCCCAAGGCCTGACATATTGAAACGTTATCTCGGGTCACAAGGAAATGCTTGTCTCCTCTCTTTTGACCAATGACTCCGGGAATTTTCGCCATCGTTGCAGAGTGGAGTAACCCGGAGATAGTTTCTGATGCCATACAACCCCATTCCCTCCATACTTCATGACTTAATTTTCGGCCTTCCACCTGCACAAGACATTCTCGATGAGGTTATGCTGCAGTGATGCCCTACTGTATCTTGCACCTCGGCACCGAAAACCGCTCGAATCCGGTTGTTATGCTCCCAAATTCGGCCGAGGCTTTGTCGACCCAGGCCTGGCTGGACCCGGAGGCAATGCATTGGGTTCCGCCACATTGCTGAAGCGCATCGTCTAGATCGCGGGATTCTGGAAAAATCATGAGCTGCATTATCGTTGAATCGCGTGATACCTGTGGGACCGGCAATGCCTGACAATGTGGGGATCCCCTTGATTACCACCGAAAAGAACCGCAGACAGGACCGCGGGGAAAGTAAACCTTTAAATTGAAGGCGTGATCTCGTTCATAGGCTAGGGAAGGATAGTGGTTACCGGTTCTACCTGCTCTGCGATTCAGCACCCCAACGTGGCTTGGCAACAATGTCTCTTGCAATCGCCCGTACCGCGGAGGGTCCCAACTCGTCGGAGTTGGACATCGAAAAGAAAACCAATGTTTGCGTGAGCAAGCATTCTGTGTCCCCTTCTGAGTCCGATGGTCTCGGGGATCCAGGCCATGCTCGCCAGTTCTTCTTTCAGAGATCGAAGAGCTACGATCCCGGTGCCATTGCCACGCAGCCGTCGGTATACGATGACCCGGACCTCGCAGAAACATACCAGCCGTTGCAAAATTGGGAGAACATCCATCGGTTCGATACGTCCGCCAGGTGGACCTGGGCAGAAGAGAATGTACGCCAGTCGCTGTTAAAGACTACCCGCACGAGACTGATTTCCTTCAGAAAGCTGTTGCAAAGCTTGATAGGCGCATTATGATCCTGGCATGTATCATGATCATGGCATTGGAGCTCGATAGGTCCAACGTTCGTACGTATTGCTATTAATATTTACTCTTATAAGATGATTTTGACTGACTGGTCTTTTGTCATCTTGCAGAGCAAGCGAATGCGGACAGTCTTCTGGAAGATTTGAATATAACGCGAGACGGTAAATTACCCTTCCAAACTGCCAAACTGCCAAACTGCCAAAAAATATCAAATTCAAAGCTAACAAGTAATCTGCACGACCTAGATTACAACCTTGGGAATACAATCTTCAGATTGTTCTACCTTTTCAGCGAATTACCCGGGCAGCTCATCGGAAAGTCCATCGGTGTCGACCGGTGGATTCCCCTGCAAATGACGTGCTGGTCTATCGTGGCTACCAGTCAATTCTGGTTACGCAATCGAAGCTCCTTTTTAGCTTGTCGAGCCTTGATAGGGATGTGCTCAGGAGGGTTCACGCCCACAGTGAGTCACTCAAACGCCGGGCCCTCTGACCCGGACTAATTGGGCGTAGATGGTTCTCTACATGTCATACTTTTACAAGCATCACGAGCTTTCCGTCCGTCTTGGCTTCTGGTATGCCGCGTCGTCACTCGCGGATATTGTCGCCGGGTTGCTGGCATACGCCATCTTGCATCTCGGTGGTATTGGCGGATATGCGGGCTGGCGTTGGCTGTTCTTGATCGAGGTTGGTTCAAGTATCTATCAGAGGTGTCCTTTGAGCTTACTGATGCATCGACAGGGGCTGTTTACTTTGGCGCTTGGCCTCATTGCGTTCCTCCTTTTGCCGCCGTCCGTCACGCAGACTGCGAGTTGGGCACGAGGAAAGAAAGGCTGGTTCACGGCACGGTAATTTTTGCTTAACTCGAAAGACCCGAAGAGTGATTCTAATGGAGCTTATAGGGAGGAAACCATCTTAGTGAATCGTATCATCCGCGAGGATCCGTCAAAGTGTACAGCGAATAGACAACATCTGCTCACTCCGAAGCTTGTCTGGAAAAGTTTCAAGGACTTCGATCTTTGGCCATTATACATTATTGGCCTCACATTCCTCACCCCATGGAGTTAGTATCACCGTTCTAGGATGGTTCTACGCAGGGAAATTCTAATATGTCTATTTGAACAGCAACCGTCTCGCAGTATTTCACCTTGATTATGAGGGATTATGGTTTCGGCACGTTCAACACCGTTTTGCTGTCTGTTCCATATAATGTATGAGATAATGTCTATTTCATAACACGGTTTCGAGTCTAACACTCTCCTAGCTCGTGGGCATCACAACACGAATCTTGCTTACTTATTCCGCCGAATATTTCGGGTCGATTTCGGTGATGGCGATATTAGCGCAGGTCTGGATGCTTCCGATGTTGATATACATGAACGCGGTGGATTTTGGGCAGGTCAACAGATGGGTCGCATGGACAGTCCTGACGGTATTCCTATCGCATCCCAGCGGTGAGTGTGCCCCTTTAGATCTCCCATAACGTGAGACATGCTAAGAACAGGCCTCTATAGCCCACGCCCTGCAAGCGGGCTGGAACTCTCGCAATTCGAACAGCGTGCGATCTCGCGCCATCTCTGCAGCGCTATATAACATGTGTACGCAAGTGTCTGCTATCATTGCGTCCAATATCTACCAGGATGGTGAGTGACCAACCCAATCGGACTCTCCCTTCGGTGACCCGGAGATTGGAGCGGAGGGGGCTAATTTGAATCGATTATGTAAAAAGAGGATGCACCAGGATACTCGAAAGGCAACCGGGTGCTCTTGGCCCTGGTGTGCGGCAACATCGCCATCTACGCAGCCACCAAGGCGTATTACATTTGGCGCAACCGAGGCCGGGACCGGAAGTGGCAGGCGATGGGCGAGGAGCAGCGAGTGGAGTATATCGCAACCACGGCGGACCAGGGCAACAAACGGTTGGAATTCCGGTTTGCCCACTGAAGCGGAGGGATAGAGATCCTTATGATAACATGAGTGTTAATATGAATATGAATCTTGAAATTGATTGAAATTGGCCTTGGCTTTAGTCATGGGAACCTAGGGCTGGCTGACTCAGCAGCCCTGAACGGCGAGGCTGAGTCAGCCGTCCGTATGCGACGACCCCGTGATGCTGGGCTGTAACCTCGTCCGGTGCCTCTCCGTTCCCCTTTCCTCAGCTTCGGTTTCCTCCTCTCTATTTGCCCTTCCTTGTCGGTGGTGTAACCTGGCTTCTTCTCTATCCTCTTGTCTGCGTGGACTCGACTTTGGCTTCATGTCGTTGCTCTCGTCCCGCCCCCTAATTCCGCCGTCAATCATTACCTAGTCCAACGTGGCCGCAACCGCCGATCGAACACGGTTATTCCTCTCCAAGTCTCCAACACTTCCAACACTTATATGCATTCAAGGCTGCGACCTTCTGCATTCTCGGTTTCCACTCCAGTTCCACCCAAAAGCTAGCGTTGTTCTTCCGCGTGATATTCCTTTGCCTTTCCCATGATCGTTCTGGATGGCGTATAGATCCTCGGTCTCGACATTTCTCTCGCTCTCCCATCTGTCGACGTAACGAAGTTACCAGCATTCCAATTGAAATAAGCTCGAAATCTGTTGCCCTAATTCCTGTGTTGTCTCTCTATCTCTTCCTCCGTGCGGGGCTCAGGAACCGTTTAATTCTTTATAAAGGTTACTTTCCTTTTTTGTTCTTGTTCTTTTTCTTTTGTCTGTTTCCTTTTTTTTTTTAAAGGTTGTGACGGAAGATTGAGACAAGGTGGCTTCAGATCAAGCGCACTTATTGGGTCCTGAGGAGACCCGGGATTCCGAGCCGGTTCTCGATTCCCACGACTTCGATGCCGATATGTCCATGAATCGTCCTCCCATGCACCGACCGACCGACGGGCGGTCCCACCACCAGCCGCTGCTGAAAGAGGAGCAGCGCGGTCGAATGTCTTTCGGGAACGGTGACGCCGAAGGCAGGCCTATGCTTCACCATACCCGCCGGCCAACGATCCGAGATAAGAGCCCCGAACACGATGCCGAGCAGGCGACTCGCAAGAAGTATATGATCGCGTCCGGTTTCTTGCTGCTGAGTTTGGCTAGTTTCGTGGTGCAGACTGAGACCGCGGTATACATTCAACATGAACTGCATTGGGATAAACCGTACGCCATGCTGTAAGTTTAGTTTGGTGGGGAGAGGCTTGGTAGATTTGGAAGTATTCATTTGGTTGACTGTTTTTGCTCTTTCTTCTCATACAGGTACTTGACGCACGGTTCTTGGGCTCTCTTGTGGCCCGTCCAACTCCTCATCCTACGCATCCAGAAACGGAAACTCTCGTGGAGTGCGTTCTGGCGACGCCATGTCTTTCTTCTCCGGACGACGGCGCAAATGGTCGAATCGCAGGATCAACATCTCTCCAATTCGCGGGTTCACAACCGATCGCCCGTTCGCTACATGATCAAGACCACGGCCTTTGTCACGACGGCTCTTACTATTGCTGGTGGATCCTGGTATGTCGCCGTCAACATGACGACGGCTAGTGACTTGACTGCAATCTACAACTGCTCCGCCTTCTTCGCCTACGCATTCTCCATCCCGCTGCTCAAGGATAAACTGCGACTTGACAAGGTGCTTTCAGTGCTAGTCGCCATCGTGGGCGTCCTGGTGGTCGCATACGGGGATCGGGACGAAAGCAAGAAGACCGCCGACGGCACGGTAGGTAAGGGCAGCGACGAGGCGGAACACCGACTCGTGGGCAACATCATCATCGGTATCGGTAGCGTGCTCTACGGTCTGTACGAAGTGTTGTATAAGCGGTTTGCCTGTCCGCCGGAGGGCACCAGCCCCGGCCGGAGTATGATATTTGCCAACACCTTTGGCAGTCTGATTGGCCTTTTCACTTTGTCGGTCCTTTGGATTCCCCTGCCCATCTTGCATTTCCTCGGTTGGGAAACCTTCCGATGGCCCACCGGCGAAGCCGCATGGATGCTGATGATCTCCGTCTGCGCCAATGCCAGTAAGTCTTCCTATGCCCTATCTAGAAGCATTGTAAAACCTTGCCCAGCCATACCTTAGATTTTGTAACATGAAAACCACCACCCCCGTTAATAGCACGTAAAACCAGAAAGAAAAAAAAAAAAAAAAAAAAAAAGAAACAACAACAACAAAAAACAATAGCTGACAATCTGTCCCCTTCTTATCTTAGCATTCTCCGGCTCCTTCCTTGTTCTCATCTCCCTCACTTCGCCCGTCCTTTCCTCCGTCGCCTCTCTCCTGACCATCTTCCTCGTGGCCATCGTCGACTGGCTTCGCACTGGCAAATCACTCTCCATGGCCTCCATCATCGGTGGCATCCTCATCGCCGTCGCCTTCTTCCTTCTCAGCTGGAGCACCTACCGCGAGATGAACGAGGAGCGGAAAAAGCGACTCCAGAACGAGGACATCGAGTCCGATAGCGACGACTAGACCTCACTGTCTACTTACTTCTATACTCGGACATTATTCATCCTCCATCCTCCACCAATTTATTTAACTAGACTCGACCTCTCTGTTTATCTCGATCTTTTTCGGTGGGTTCTTGGTCATTCATCGTCTTGTATCTTTTTTTATTATCCCTCTCTATAACGCATTCCTTGGCATTCGATATCTGTATTCAATTCATGATTGGTTTGGCTGGTTGGTTGGTGTGTATGTAGGTAGTTCAGGTGCCTAGTGTATAGATTGGTGTTCTTTTTTTTGTTTCTTTATTCTCTGGTTTTATATAGACTGTCGGTGGTTATTAATTTTTTTCGCGTCGTGGATTTTTTTTATCTTATTTACTCTCTTTCATTGTATATTCTATTCAAATTGTATTCCAGAAGGTTTTTCTTTTGTGAGGATTTTCGGGGTCTAGTCTAGAGTTCGTCAGATATAGTATGTAGTTATTATGTACGAGAGTTTTTTATAGAGTCTGACCTGGCCCTGTTGTCATTGCACACCCGGGATGAAGAATGGTCATAAGATCAGATCAGGTTTACTTTCTCTATACTAACTACATGAACACAGTGTAGGCGGTAGAAAAAGGAAGAAAGAAAGTACACAAAAAGGGGGTGGATGTTTAGTCCTATGTATATGTACGACGCATCACGGTATCGAGTTCAGACTCTCAAAGATAGACCTGCTAGGAGCCGTTGGTTGGTTTGGTTGGTGCTGGCTGGTGGTGTAGTCTCTACTCAGTAAGTATGAGAAGATGAGAGAGGGGGTGAAGATAAAGGATAAGGAGTGAAGCCTGGGGGTAGAATGCTCCCAAAAACAAGAAAAGCATCGGATAAAGTCGGATGAAATAGAGAGAGAGAAAATAATATAATCAGACAGATAAAAAAAAGGTTTATGATTTTGGTTTCTTTTTATCTGGGACCGAGTTTGGCCAGGGCACGAGCACCCTCTTCCTCCCATTCTTGCTTGGTAACCCACATGTCCTCCTTGTCGGCGATCTGAAAGGTAGAGTTGTTAGTTCATTTTTTTAGGATAGAAGGGAAGGGTATGCATACCAGGTTGGCGAGCACGGCACCACCCAAGAACACCATGTGTCTCCGCCTCGGCGGGTCTTCGATGCGAACCTTGAATTTCTAGAGAAAGAGTCAGTACACCTCTGAAGCATGGGCTTGTCGTCACAATAAACATACGTTCAGTCTCTCCGGGTCCCCCTTCAACACGCGGGTCAACCACAGCTGCTTCAGCTCCTTCTCCAACCGCGAGGGCAGACCAGGGTACATGCTGCTTCCTCCACTGAGCACGATAGCCTTGTACAAGCTGGAACGGACGTCGACGTCGGCGCCCTGGATGGTGTTGAAGAGCATTTCGGCAATACCAGGCTGGTCCACGTCGACTAGGTGCGGCTGGAAGAGACACTCGGGGGCTTCGAATCGCTCGCTACCGACACGGATGACTCGTCCGTCGGGCAGGGTGTAGGACTCCACCAGGACCGTCGTGTCCTCCGACAGCTTCTTGTCCAGCTCCAAGTCGTAGGAGACGTAGGCGAGCTTCTCCTTGATCTGGCGCACCGTCTCGAAATCGGCCGTACGGTTCAGCGCGTAACCCCGACGGAGGAGCAAGGCGATCAGGTTCCGGGTGACGTCCCGACCGGCGACATCCAGTCGGCGGATGTGGTGGTTCAGGACCGTTGATTCGTAAACCGGGATAATATGGGTGACACCGTCACCGGAGTCCACGACAACACCGCTGCTGAGACCTAGGACACGAAGGAGAAGGTCAGCACTAGCCGCTCATCATGCCGCCTGGGTTCCGGATATAGGCCGAAGGAGCACTCACCCTGGGCGTACAATGCAAGCACAGCTTGAATCGCAACGTAGACACCGCCGAAGTTGTAGTTTTCCAGCATCACTTCGCACATCTGTTCCCGGTTCTTCAGGGGGTTCTGGGGGGGTTCGGTGAGGAGGATTTTGCGACCGGTCGGGTCGATGCCCATTTTCTCGTAGAAAGTGTAGTTCCATAGGTGCTGCATATCGTCCCATTTCTTCACGATACCGTTTTCCATCTGTCCAGCGGAGTGCGCATTAGCAACACGTCGGCGGTTGAGATTCCCCATCCGGCTCGGGCGGAGAGGGAAGCCATGTAGGGAGATATCGAGAGACATACAGGATAGCTGATCTGGAGCATCGATCGGGCAGCGGCAGCTTCATCTCCGCACATAATATCCTTCACAACGATATCCCCGGCCTGTTCTTCAGTTCGCAAGATAGGTCGCCCCACTATTGAGGGGAACTGGTGCTCTGGGAAGTTCTATCGAGGCGGCAGACTGTCATTAGTCGACGGGAGAGTCTCGTCATCGGGTTTCTAGTAGTGAAGGCGTACCTGCGCGGCATATCCGACCTTGAGGAAACCGGTTCCTCCGTCGAGCACTGGGAGAGTTGGTTAGATGGTTGACTGACGGGAGCTGGGGGGGAAGCTGTTGGGGGGAAACATAGGGGGGAAGAGCTTACCAATGGGCATGTCCGCCATGGTGAAAGAGGGAAGTAAGATGACAGATCGAGATCAGAGGTGAGAATTAGACAAATCGGGCGAGACCAGCCAACGCGACGGGGGGAGAGAGGGAGAGAGAGAGAGGGAAGTATGTATGAGCAGCGACGGACGGCGGAGGAGAAGGAGGTGTGGCTCTCCACCCGATCGGGTCGTGTCGTTGCCCCAGGCAGGCACCGGGGGGGCGGAGCCGCATCATCAGCCACGTTCTCGTACGGAGTACGCTTCTCTCTCTCTCTCTCTCTTTCATACGCACGCTCTCTCTATCTTGATATATACTCATTACCGGATCCTGTCCCTCATCGCGGTCAATGTGACCGGTCGGACCCGGACGATCCCCAGAATGTCGTAAGAGTTCACCCACAGAGCCGCCGCTCCTCTTCCTCTGCCTGATGACGTAGTATTGTTGCTCCCCGTAGAAGATCCAGTTCACGCTGCACAACCTCACGGCGTAAGACCGACCGAAAATCAGTATATTCTATCAGAGAGATGATTTAGAACTACTCCAGACGTCAAAGACTAAACAGACATAAATCTAATGGCCTATCGCCGTTGTCCGCTTTGCATCGGGGTCCCTCGATCGGGAATCGCGTAGAAGAGGAAATCAATTCATCTCTACGGATTACAACCTCTTCCAATCCCATCCACCATCCCTTAACCACCACCCCGGAAACTACACAATGTTTCGCATCGGCTGGGTAAATCAGCTCTCCCCAATTCCAATCGCTTCTGGTCCTAACCTCGACCCCTTGAACAGTATGGCCTCGGCTCCATGGGCCAAGCCATGGCCACCAATCTCCAACGACACCTGGCGGCCCAAAAGGCCCCGAACCTCACCTTCAGTAACCGGACCATGTCGCGTGGCGATGTCTTGAAATCTCTGGGTGCTAAGCCGAAGACTGATTTCAAAGAGGTGGTCGCTAAATGCGACATCATCTTCACGATGGTGTGTTAACCCGTTTGTTGAGGTGCCTAGAACAGCCGAACAGCCCATCAAAACAAGCTAACTGACGCGTTGCAATGAATCTCAAGGTCTCTAACAACCAGGTTCACAATACCCTGATCCAGAATGCTGTCACATCAGAACACGACCTCCGCGGCAAAATTTTCGTGGACTGCTCGACGATACATCCGGGGACCGTACAAGAAAGCGTCGAAAAACTCAGGGCGAAGGAGGCTTCCTTTCTAGCGGCGCCTGTCTTTGGCGGTCCCTCGATCGCTGAGGAGGGCAAATTGGTCTTTGCGATTGGCGGGCCGAAGGAGGCGTCCGAGGTCGTGAAGCCGTTCATCCAGGACGTGATGGGTCGTAAGGTGATTGATTGTGGGGAGGACGCTTCAAGAGCGTCGCTCTTGAAGGTTGCTGGGTATGTATTCAAGAAAAGGGGAAATATATGAGTGACTAACATCATATCGTAGTAATATCGTAACCCTCAACTTGATGGAAGCGGTGGCGGAAGCCCAAGTCTTTGCCGAAAAGACCGATCTTGGGACTGATCTTATGGAGGAAGTCATCGGCGAGGCGTTTGGGCCGATCGCCGGGGGTTACTCGAAGAGGTGAGTCCGGTTCCCTCCTTAGTATCTTGTCTCTGATTTATCGTCTGTAGATTGACCACCGGTGCCTATGCGCCGCACCCGTACTCTCTGCCCGGATTCTCCGTATCCAATGCCATCAAGGATGCCGGCATTGCTATCAGTATCGCCAAAAAACATAGCGCATTTGTGCCAGGCCTAAGAATTGCTCGAAACAATATGGAGATAGCTCGGAGATATGCAGGACGGCATTTAGACAGCACCTCTATGTACGGAACGCTGCGTCAACAGTCACGGATGGAGTTCTGGAACGAGAAAGCCCGGCAGGATTGAGAGGACATGCGACCTATAGTCTTGTATAAGAACTTGATCTTACATCGTGGATATTGAACATTTGCTACTGTAGGGTCTATCTACTGACGTTCATGCACCAATCGCTTCAGTAAGACAGATTCGCGTATTTCGGCTTCTTTACTCGCAGCTTACACAAGATTCTCTACAGGTAGTTATGCTGCTCGCGGCAAAAAAAAAAAAAAAAAAAAAAAAAATTAAATTCGGCCTGGCTTGTTAGCTCGCCATTAACCTAATTCATCCTCGAGGCTCTAGATTACAAACGGCATATTCTCATCCGCGGTTACAGTTCGAATCCTCGAATCCTTTGGTTGAATAAAACCCACATTAACTGGGCAACATGTGAAGGAAACGACGGATACAAAATGGCTTGAAGGCGAGATGAAGACAATGACGGCCACCGAGCTTTTGGTTTTAGAGGTTGGTTTGTCTTTCTTCTTTCTTTTTTCGGTCCTTTTGTGGAGGGAAGATCAAAATAAACCTATCAAAGTATTAAATATGAGAATCGCCCACCTGATTCCCTTATCAGGGTGTGGTCCTAATCTTGGTGGTTTCAACTAGAGACGGATAGGCTTCGGCAAAGGCCGGCCCCAAAGTCCAGTTGCTGAGATTCCGGAAATGTCTTTCGAAGACGGGGTTGATAATCAATTCGTCACCATCTCCCGTCGACAGAAGACAATCCGTCGCCTCGTACGGCCAATTGACAGACAGCGTGCGTGTGAATGGGATAAACCAATTCTCAAATGGGTAATCTCGATACGACATCACTACGCGGTCGCGCATCCGCGGCCAGGGCAGGTAGTCAATCCAAGCAGGATGCGGAGTCAACAACTGCGACGGACGAGGGGTCAGCCAGTCTGGCACGCGGTCGTAGTTCTCCGGGGTCGGGTAGATCTGCCATCGCATGAGGATGAACATGAGATACAAAACGGCCACCTGGTCCGGCAACGATGAGATATCGGGGAACGTGCGTAGAATGTCAGTAAAGACCTTCGACAGCGGGTGGGAGTAAACGCTCTTTTCCGGATTGAGCAGCGACGAGACGCTGGGATAAGGCGGTCCAACTAGCTTCTGCTTGGGGACCCCCTGTGCCGCCTGCCGTTGACGATGATGAAGAAAATCCAACAAGATGGCATCCAACGTACATGTCGGAGCGATGTTTCGGATCGGGGTCAGGTGCGCAGGGAGCGCCTGTTCCCCCATGGGCCCATTATTATGCGGGGGCGAATAAACAGCAGGCGCGCTCAACGGGGGCGCGCGGAGGTTGTCCGAGGCACGGCGGAAGCCCTCCACTTTGGGAACCTGCTGCGATGCATCTAGAAGGAAATTGAAGCCCATTCGCTCATCGCTTCCGAAATCCAATCCATGGGCCAGATTATGCCGTTGGTAGTCGAAGGCAATGCGAAACGAAGTAGACGATCCGGTCGCGCTATCCTGCCGAATTCCACCGAACGTGGGCGCCGAATGGGTGGAGGAGGGGGTTTCAACGCTGGCAATGGATTCGGAGTATTGCTGCTCCGTTGGTCTGGGGTTACTAGCACTAGGATGGTTGGATTCCAAAAAAGGCAGAGTCGTAGAAAGGGGAGGAATCGACTTTGTGCCACCAGACGGAGTCGAGGAGGGGGGAAGATCTAAAACTTGTTTCTTAGTCTCAACCGCACTAATTGATTCACACCCATGTGGTCTCCGAGTATAAGCAAACAAGAATTCTTTTCTTCTTCTAAAAAAAGAAAACGAAAAAGAAAACGAAAAAGGAAGGAAAAGACAAAATACTCGAGTGAGGGCAAAAGGAGAGAGGTAATAAAAGCAAAGCGAGAAAAAGTTTTACGGAAAGGTGGTAAAAGCAGGGGAAGAGAAAGAAAGGCGACGACAAATGATAAGAGGGGACCACAAAACACAGGAATGGTAGGTAGGTAGGTCTTACTTGAAGTATCCTGTCTCCCAATTAGTGGTTGAATGATATCCAGAATCGATTTCAATCCCTGTTTTATCTCCGCATTTTCCGCTTGAATAGCTTCATTCTGCTTCAAGGCCGCCTGAAGATCGAGAAACGGTTTCTGGGAGGAAAGATCGCGCACACGCTGCTCGAGGGAATCAATGTGAGTCTTAGTTCGCTCGCGGATGGCTCGCTGAGCCTGGCGATCGTTGGCACGCTTCTTTGCCAATTGCTCCGGGGTAAGGTTGGCGACGCCTCGAGCCGACATGCTATTCAACTTGCGTTTCCGCCCCGCAGGCCCGCCATTATCAGACGCCGGTGTTTCTGCATCTGCAGAGGCCAGGCCGGTCGGGGTGGGAGAGTCTTCTAACTTGACGTCGTCCGGATCCTGGCTCATGGATGCAGACTCCATCACCGGAGATGGCGCCACATCGTTCAGAGGAGGCAGGCGGTTGGCCATTGCCTCACTCGCTGTGTTATCGAATCGTAACGGCCATTCAAAACGGCCGAAAAAGCGGGAACAAAAGCCAGGCACAAACCTGGTCAGCAAACCAAGTTGACAATCCGCATGGATGGAAAAGGAAGAGGGAATAAAGAAGAAAAAGAAGAAGGGAGGGCAGAGAGAAGAAGAAAAAGAGGAATACGAGGGAGTCGAGAAAAGGAGGAGGGAAGCGAAGAGAAGGAAGAGGAGGTTCGGAATGGACGAAGGTGACAGTTCTGGAACAAGTGGAGTCCCGCCGAACTTAATCCTGGACCATCACATGCTCAGGGTCTTTGGGCTTGAAGCTGCAGGAAGGATGTAGTTATGTGGTCTGTATGTACGCCGGTCCCCGTATATAATCTGCTTATCCAAACAACGTCCCCAGCTGGGGAGGTCCAAGAATAAATATTAAGGAAAAAAAAAAAAAAAAAAAAAAAAAAAGAATAATCAAAGACGAACTCCCTGCCAGCAACTGCAAAGCCGATCCGCCCCCATAAAAACTACTTCTCAACCGAGAATTCCGCTGACCCATCAGAATAATGCCGAATGGCATGTGCATTGCACGGAAGAATGCAGGAAGACGTAGAGCATTATAGACACGTAGAATGGCTTCCGTCTCGCCGTCATAAGTATAGCGCCGTGTGAAGACGACACGAAAATAAAATAGCATAAAATAACAATGAGAAAGGAAAGATATTCACTGAATCATGTGGCCCATTTTGGAAATCTGTTTGGTCATCGCGTTAGCTATCGCCCTGCCTAGCGTCAAGTCGGGGGGGGGGATCCAACTCACCTTCGTTCTTAAATACCCCTCGACTTCGGAACTCTTGATGCCCATCTTTCCGCCCGATCTCCATGCCAGTGGGATCATCGGAACCCGTTCCTTAACAACCACCTCTCGGTTGGGTCCTTCAACGGCTCGCACCTTGTCCGGGTTGTTTGTCAACAACCGAATTCCATGGGGGTTCGAATCCACCCCCAGACCCAGATCAGCCAGCATTGCTGTCGCCAGACCGTAGCTCCGGGCGTCGGCCGGATGACGCAGCAGTAAATTGGCCTCGACGGTGTCAGATCCCAGATCTTGGAGATTATACGCCTTTAACTTCTCTCCCAACCCGATCCCGCGACCTTCCTGCCGGAGGTAGATGATGACACCGCCAGACGCATTCGAAGGCACGGTGAGATCCTGCTGGGAAGCGACCGCGGCCAGCGTCTCCATCGGTAAGGACATGAGTCGCGCGGCCTCGTCAAGCTGCTCACCACAGTCGCAACGGGCCGACCACGCCGTCTCGCCGGTATAGCACTCCGAGTGAATTCTCACTAGCGGTGCTTGGCTGGGGCTGCTTCGGGGGACCCCAGGTTGATCCGACACGGGACCATCGGTGGAAGCAACTCTTCCCTCACCCTCGGCCTGCGCGCTATCGTACCAACTACTCACCCGCCCGGGATGAAGGGTGCCGACGTATGCCCCGCGAATCATGCGATCCATTTCGGTCTCCCCCGGGCGGACTTGGTCCAGACTTCGACTGCGGATAGTGTTTCCGAACACAATTGCCAGGTGCTCCTTGTTATCCAAATCATTGCGGTAGAGGTGAAGGAACATCTCGGCGCCGTTGGTCGTGGGGATCCGAGCGCGGACGATACATTCGACGTTCGGAAGACAGGAAAGTAGTTTGGGCGGTTTCGAGGACAATGCTGGCTGCGGTAGCTGGGCCTGCTGTAGCAATTGTGCCGTGTTCAGGGTACCCCCCGGCGTTGCTGGCGGGGTGAAGGAAGGTGAGAGGAGCGAAGCGGGCACGGCGGGGGTGACGTCGCCTGGACCATGCTCGGCATTGTCGGAGTGAGCGTCAGCACGAAGCTCATCTATGCGACTGGTTGGTAAAGGTGCAGCCGGAGTTGTAGACTCAAGCGATAGACCATCGACAGGTTCTGAGGGCGATGGTTGTGAGGCGAAAGTTGGGGAGGCGTGTGAGGGCAAGTTCGCCATTGCGGAGGGGAGAAAGAAGAGGGGGGGGGGAGCAATCCAAAAACAGTCTAGAGCGGCAACTAAGCAGGGTTCATCGATAACCCACGAGCATCATAGGTATGAGCGTACTCGAACAACAAATGGAACGGGGACGACAGAGGACAATTTTCTTCTAAAGCAAAAGTATAGCGGCGAAGCCCGGGAATTGCGAATTGATGACTGACCGAGTGAATCCCTCGGAGTCTCGGGACGGGCGGGGTGGCTGACTCAGCACGGAGTTAGTCAGGCATTTGTCAGGTGAGGCTGGGCGTCTAGCAGCTTCCGTCATTCTCATTTCTCATCCTGTGAGTCTATTTCACTCTTCCATAGTTCATACACCGGACGGTCCCTCGATATCCCGTTCGTGCTTCATAGCTCATGCCTCTAGTAAGACTTCATCACGTCAGTCAATGGTAATCATACCATAAACTATATAGTCCCTCGTCGTCAACTCTACTACCCACCTTGGAGCCAATTCATCACACTCGAAGCTTGTTCGATGTGGGTGGCCAATTCAAATGAAATGAATCATGTTGCAGTTCAAATTCCCAGTATCTCCAAAGTATCCATCCTGGCGGTTGATTAGATCCTCGGCGGTTAGAATGACTCGCGGATACTTCACCAGTACTCTGTGCTCCGTACTCCGTCCACCGGCAGGGGACCGCTGGATTGTGCATAACCCTAATCACTTAAAAATCAGGCGTGCGCCTTGGTGTCCCCAAATTCAGATCAATTTCCAAACCGATCGACTCCCAACATCCCAGATAGTGATAGTGACATCAATGCCGCGGTCTCTGGCCGCGTACCCGTCGTATCTCATGTGAAGTGGATAAAGGATCGACATCGTCGCCTCCCCTCTCCCCCCATGGGGTTGAAACAGAGGGGGAATAATAAAGCTGAGCGGTTTCTTCCTACAAAAAATATTAGGCCGTGCCAAAAACCCCTCCGTTCCTCTGATTTCTTCCTCTTATGCGATATTTGGGACGCGATGGGAACTAGAATGGGTGATTGAACCGGCATCAACCACCACGCATGATACATTTGGCCCCAACTGAGATCGCCTTCCTTGAGCCAGCAGCCTTTTCACTGTATATTCCTCGGCTGGTCCGTGGAATTCAGAAAATACCTCAAACAGAAAATGTCTAAATCGGATATAGAGCAGATCTCAGATACATCAGAAGCCGACGGTACCTCTACACCAGTCAAGCCTACGCTCTTCCAGCGATGGAAGGCCCATATGAAGAAATGGTGGTGGATTTACCTGATAGCCTTCTGCATTATCGTCTTGGTGACTGTCCTGCCTATGTGAGCATCATTTTATCCAATCTCAACGGCTTGTACTAATGTGGATATCCAACAAGCATTTACGTGGGAGTTCCTAACTTCGCCAACAACTATATCAATAACAATAACTTTGATACTTCCGGACTCACCATCTCAAATCCCACTCCGGACTCGTTCCATATTCGCCAATCTCAAGAATTTCACGTTGGGGGTGGATTCAGTGGCAGCGGCAAGCTCTCTGCCTTTAATGCATCACTCAGTGCCCCTGGGTCGGACAAGACCTTTGCTACTTTCCCCGTCCCGGAGATCGAGTTCAGCGATGGCGCCACCCTCGACATAGATCAGGATCTGCACCTTTCTTGCGTTAGTTGCTTCTCGCAGTTAGCGGCGTCCGCGGTCTCGAGTAAAGACTTCGGCATTGTCATTTCCGGAAATCCAGATCTCAAGGTCAAGGGCCTTCCCACTGCTCAACTAGATATTCACAAGAACATGAAGATGCAAGGTATGTTCAAAAACCCAGCGTCTTGTCTTCAACGACTTCACCAAGTAAGTATCAACTGACATATACTTCAACAGGCTACAACGCCCAGGGTAAACTTACCCCACCACCAATCATTCTAGACCCCAAAAATATACATTCTAACCAAAGCATAATCACCAGAGTTCCTCAACCGCGATGGCGCATTCAACGTAACCGATATCCATATCTTCGAACCCCCAAAGAAAGGCTACAACTTGAACGCCACCGTAGCATTCAAAAACCCAACCCCATTCAACGTCGAAGTGGTATGTCACCCCGTCGCATTCCAAAGCCACTCCACTAGGTAACCTTGATTGAAATTTTCCATTCCACAGGGCTCCGTCGGTTTCAACCTCACCGTAAATGGCGAAGACCTCGGCTACATCGACATCCCAAATCTAACCCTGCGACATGGTCTCACCAACGCCGATATCCTGGGCAATATCAGCATCAAGACTCTCGTACGTCAGGGCATCTATGATGCCAGCACCGAGGAACTGGGCAAGGTAACGATTGGGCTGCATGGCAATCGTTGCATATATGATGGCAAGGAGATTCCGTATTTTACGGCGGCGTTTAAGGCCGTCAATGCGTCGCTGGATGTGGATTTGTTTAAATATGCGAAGGGTCTTTTGTGAGGGCGGACCGATTTGAAGGCCATCGTGATTGTGGAGCATTGATCAAATAGAATTGACTTACGGTGCATGAACCAGTCAACCTGACTAGTTGAAATGCAATCTGATAGAAATTGCTCTAGACTTTTTCAGTGATCATGACTAGTTGAATTTCATAGTCCTAGCCTATATATATCACTAAGATTATGAAAACTACCTAGAACAATAGAGCAAAATTAAGCAACCGGCAATCTATGATCCAAACGCCTCGCTTCTGGTCGAGTAGTGCTTTTTCAACCGACAGTAAAAATAAAATATCGCCAAACTAGAAACTCCTTAACCCCCTTTACCAATGAATGAAAACCGCTGCGGCGCAAAGGGTATCATACGGGCCAGAACTGTTTGGTCCCGGAAGTGAAGACTGTCTTCCTAGACCGCTCTTTCGAAGAATGGGCTCATTTACCGGGGATGTCGAGGACAAACCGACGGTCGACTTCCATTTCCTTGTCGTCTTCCTCGCCTTCGAACTTAAGACGGTAGGTATCCTTCCTGGATCCCATGACTTCCGCACGGTAGAACGTGGTCGTATCAGGGTACCGCGCCAGGACCTGCTTGCCCACGCTGAAGGAGGGCAACGCCGTCCCGACTCTCGGAATGGGGATCAGTGAGACGGCTGTAGTTTTGTAGACAGCGCCCTGCTCGCCGTTCTCATTCGGCTCGGGATCCTGAACGTCATACCTTGAAAGGGGAACTCGGTCAATTACTTGGCAACTTAAGACTGGGGAGCCATGCCATACCGTTTCTTATTTCCCTCGCCCGTGATAGACTTGATAATGCACTGGATGCCCTCGCCTTCCACACCTTGTTTGTTTTTGTTATGTTTGAAGACAACTTCGGCGCCCATGGTCAACTGCCCCGTGCGCTCGGCCACCATGCCCTTGGTACTCTCTGCTCCTTCTTCGACTTTGACGTGCACGCTCTCTCGACTTTCTCGGCCGTCCCGGGCCTGCGCGCTCGAGACGCTGGTACTGCGCTGGACACCGCCCTTGCGGTTCGCCTTATCTGAAAAAGACGGACCGGACGGGCCAGGCGAATCGGTGGCCGATCCATCGACATCGTTCCTCTTCTTGCGGGACTTGCCCAGAGCAGAAGCGCGATTGAGCGGTGCTTCCATTTCGGAAGCTTGACGGAGAGCGGTCAAAAGTCCCAGATTTTTGATCACGTCGCTCGGTTCATCCTGGAGGATGGCTCGTTCATCTTCGCAGAGCTTGGCCATCTGACGGTAGAGAGCATCCAGTTGGTTATGCTCGCTGAGCGTAGGCTCTGTAAGGAAGGTTAATATTTGCTTAGTTTTAATGTATCCTCATTCCATCAAATGACAATAGAGGCTCGGGAGACGACATCCGTCATGGTCATCCACCAACGACAGCTAGATTCAACAGCTGTTTCTTGACCTTGCCATCATCGCAGAATGAAGAAAGACAGAGGGGGTTGTACTTACTCCCACCGTCCTTCCCAATCTTCTCGTTCAGTACGTGGATCTGGTCCCCGATGAGCTTTTGCTTATCGTTCTTCTCCTTGGCCTTGCGCAGATCTTGTAGAATCTTGTTCCACATGTCTGTTTCTTCATTGGCAGCCAGGCCATTATCCCTGGGCATGGGAGGGCCCCTGGGGCGGTTGCGCGACATCCTGGAAGACGACTGGGGCGGCTCTCCAGGAGGAAATGCCTTGCCTTGCTTCTTCGGCTGCGTCTTCTTTTTACCCTTGGCCGGGATTGCAACCGAGTCTTTGGCTTTCTCCAGGGTCAAGGCCTCCCAATCAAAGGCAGAGACAATCTCCTGATTGGATATACTGCGCGTGCCGCGAACTGCACCCTGGCGGAGATCCTGCGACTGACGATGAGCAGTAGCAGCGGCCTTGGACGGGGAAGCTTGCGGCGCCGATGATGGGCGATGGACGGCGCGGGTATTCTTGGCGGGCGACTGGCGGCTGCCGGGAACGCGCTTACTGCCCCACGGGACGCGCTGATTGGAGGGCTCCATTGCCGTCACGGGGTCGGAGGCGGATAGCCGAATGGGGCTTAGTGCGGGATGGAGGGGCAGAAAGCAGAAGGAAAGCGGAGCTCTTCGTCCTCGCGATCTCTGGAGGGACCCAACAAAAAGTATCCAGACGGAGAAATTTATCGTGGTTGACGGACGAGAAGCTGGACCTGATCTGTGACCACTCACTCCCCCTGGAAAAATCACTCCTCAGCCGAGTATATCCTCGATTTCTCTGTCTTGTTTGTTTCGACTTCAACTTCTGACCGCCCACTTCCGGAACAGACAGAATGCGAGTGCCGTTGTTTCGACTCCAGTGTGGTAAGCGTGGATTCTGTCAGGGACTGACTGGACGTTCTCAGAAAGGCTAATGGACTGGGGTGGTGTGTGTGTTTAGGAGTCAACAGTTATGACTGGGGTAAGATCAGGCAATCTGCGGTGTTTCTACGGTGAATGCTGTGCTGAACGTCCTTTTAGGAAAGGTCGGCAACGACTCCGCTGCGGCCAAATACGCAGCTACCACCGCTGCTCCTGACTTCTCGATAGAGTCTGAGAAGCCATATGCCGAAGTCAGTGCCTGCCCTTCCTCCCGCCACGAGTCTCCCGCTAATCCCTATGACGTAGCTATGGATGGGCACGCATCCCTCTCTTCCGTCGAAAGACCTCGAGACGCAGCGAACCTTGCTCGATCTCGTGCAGGATAACCAGGCGTTGATGTCCACGGAGGTCGCGGAGCGCTATGGCGGAAAGCTGCCCTTCCTCTTCAAGGTGCTGTCGATCCGGAAGGCTCTCAGTATCCAAGCCCACCCGAACAAGAAGCTCGCCGAAAAGCTTCATGCCCGGGATTCCCAGAACTATCCTGGTAAGGATAAGCCACCCGAAACTGGCTATGCTGGCGTCGGCTAACCGTATCCTGCAGATGATAACCACAAGCCTGAAATGACCATCGCCATCACGCCGTTCGAGGGCCTGTGTGGCTTCCGTCCGTTGGCCGAGATTGCCCATTTCCTCAACGCCGTAGCACCCTTGCGTCAACTGATCGGCGAGGATGCGGCCAGCCAGTTTGAAAACACGATCAAGGGCTCGGAGGACTCGGAAGACCCTGCAGTGACACAGAAGAACAAGGAGGTTTTGCGGGCGGCTTTCACATCTCTGATGCAATCATCGCCCGAGAGCATCGAAGCCGCCACCAAGGACCTCGTCGCGGCGGCCCATGACTCTCCCGATAGCTTCGCTACCTCCGCCAGTACGCCCCACACCAACCCGAGCAACCCGGCCGAGCTGGCCGCTCTCATTACGCGCCTGAACGGACAGTTTCCCAACGACATCGGCTCGTTCGTGTTCTTCTTCCTCAACTTCGTCACGCTATCCCCCGGAGAGGCCATGTTCCTCAAGGCGGACGACATCCACGCCTACATTTCCGGAGACATCATCGAGTGCATGGCGTCCTCCGACAACGTGGTGCGCGCGGGCTTCACTCCCAAATTCAAGGATGTCAGCACCCTCACGGACATGTTGACGTATTCCTACGCGCCGATCGAGGAGCAGAAGTTGGAGCCTAAGGACTACCCGTACGTAGTCCTCAACGTGCCCGCGTACTCTAGCATGTCGTCCAGTCTGCTCTACGACCCTCCCATCGAGGAGTTCAGCGTGGTGAAGACGGAGCTGAAACGCGCCGGCGCCAAGGCGACCTTCGACGGCCTGGCCGGCCCTAGCATTGTCATCTGCACCGGCGGCACTGGTAAGATCACAGTCGGCCACAAGACGGAGGAAGTGAAGGAGGGGTATGTGTACTTCGTGGGCGCCACGGCTGAGTGCATTATCGAGAGCACTGGCGAGGAAGATTTCACCACGTTTAAGGCGTTCTGCGATCTGACCGGCAAGGAGGACATGGTGAATGGCCACTAACTAATCTTGTGTATGCGAGGTACCAGCGAACAGAAAAAGCAAATATAAATGACGTGTATGCTTATGCAATTTATTCACTTCTACCGCTGCAGCCGAGGTAAACCGCTCGAGTGACAGGAGCGGGGATCTTCTCCGTCTTATACTCTTCCTCTTTCTTATTCTTATTCTTGTGCTTATCCTTCCTTCCCCCCCACTTTAGCCCTTGAAGAAAATCCATCACTACCCCTCTCCCTCACTTCCCTCACTATGGCCCTGGACCGCACCTCGCTCTCCCTCTGGGAAAGGGCCGACCTTCTCGCCGCCCAGCTCTCCGCCGTCGGAGCCGCGCTCTACAGCGCCATCACTGGAGCCTTCCGCGGTAAATCTGGCGCAAGTTCCTACATGCTTCATGTCGGTAATGCGATGATCCGATCGCTGGTCGGTCGGTTGAGTTCTAGACAACTTCAGTATGACTGACATGTCGAGAGGTTTCCCAACACATTGAAGTAGCTTGACGACTGACCAGGCCGTGTGTAGATACGTATATCCCTCCACCAAATCTGCGTATGAAAGCTTCATGAAATCCAAAGGCCTTGAGCCGGAAAACGTGACGCTCAATCACGGCGCAACGGGGCATTGGATTGGGGATAAGAATGCGAAGAACGTGGTGGTTTATAATCATGGTATGTATATCCATCTTTCCTAGTATCTTAGCCCAGTAAACAGACCCTTCCAAACCAAACCACTACCTACTAACCCCATAGAAAACAAACAGGTGGAGGCTTCGCAATCCCCGCCTCAGAAGGCCACTTCGATTTCTACACCTCCATAATCAACCACCTCAACGCCAGCAATCCCTCCCACGGCGACATCGCCATCTTCTTCGTCGCCTACACCCTCACCCCCCACGAAACCTACCCGACGCAACTCCGCCAATCCATCTCCGCCCTCCAGTACATCCTCACCGAGACGCACCGCTCACCAGAAAACATCATCCTCGGCGGGGATTCCGCCGGTGGAAATCTCGCTCTAGCTGTCCTGCTGCACCTCGTGCATCCACACCCGGATATCGAGCCATTAGGTCCCCTCCTAGACGGTCATCCCCCGCTAGCAGGGGTATTTGCATTCGCGCCCTGGGTAAGCTATAATCTGGACGGGGCGACAATAAAGGGAAATCGCAAGAAGGATATGATCCCGGCGAAGGTGTTGGTGGATTGGTCGAGGGGGTATCTCGCTAGCGGTAGCAGTACCAATGGAGGGACCAAGGAGGATGAGGTGAGGGAAGGAGATGCATGGAGTGAGCCGAATAAGGCGCCCGTGGAGTGGTGGAGAGATGCGAGGGAGAAGACAGACAGTGTGTTGTTTTTGGCGGGGAGGGATGAGATCCTCTTTTCGGGGATTGAGGCGTTCGTGGAGAAGGTTAAGGTATGTTCTCTCTTTTCATTTTCCCTTTTTTAGTTGTTCTTATTGTTGTTTAAGTTGGGGGTGGAGGTTCAGATTGAGCTGTTCAGAGTTGGGATGAGTGGGACCTATATGGGGCACCGATTGACTGATTTATTTACCTATAGTCCGTCATACCAGATGCCACGTACGTCGTTGGACATGGAGAAACGCACGTTGCGCCAGTCTACAGCGGACAGTTTCTCAGCGAGGAGGCGCAGCAAGGCAAGGCTTTGAAGAGCTGGTTGGCGGCTCGTCTCTGGTGAAATCAATTGACCGCGTTTGAAATTGCATTTATTGATGTTGATTATTTACCCTGATGACGATCACGATGACGATCTAGTTGATGATCTACGCGATACCTAGCATAGCAGGTCGCACAGCGTTGGATGCACAGGGTCAGTGTAACAGGCTCGAGCACGCAGGATCGAGTCTCATCTTATTTTCGCTTTTAGGTATCACAAATATAATGTCTATCATTGATGCAAAATACTCTGTCCATGGGACTAGATATGGAAAGGAAGATGGAAGGAAGAAGGAATGAGAAAAAATGAAAAAAAGGCCTTGCAGATAATACCTGATAATACAATCGCTACGCCGTCGCATAATTCATTGAAATGAGAAAGGAAAAGAGGAGGAGACAACAGCCTGAAGGGAAAATTAAGACGACACTCGCGGCGCATACTTCGCAGCAGCCGTATCAAAGAAGTCACTCTTCTCTTGAACATCGACCAGCAGAGCATGCGAGGGCTGGGCGTTTTGCAGACGTCTACATCGAGAGAAAAAAAACCCCCCCCGTTAGCTTGACCGGCAGATACACTTCCACCGGACGCCAATTGAACGACGGTAGGGTAGGGAGGGTATACGTACGTCTCCAAATCCTCCGACGGCTTTCCAGCCAACACATTCAACACGACCGAGTTGGCGATCAATTCCGCGTCCTCGGGGTATTTCTCCAGCGCCGCCGTCAACGCGGCCTCGGCCTCGGGCAATCGACCGAGATGGAGCTCCGCGACGGCCTGGCCGACGATGGAAAGAGGCGCGGACGTGCTAGGCGCCGAGGCCAGTTCCTCGTACACGTAGAAGGCCGATTGGTACTTCTCGCCGCCCTGGAGAGATCATTGGTTAGTTCCAAGGACTCAGACTAGCCAGCAAAGTAAATTTCTTTGGAGAGAGACGGGTGAAGAACGCACAATTCTCATGCCAACCCACGATTCCGCCAGGTTGACCAGAAGCGAGTCCTGGGCCCAGCGCTTCGCGGTCTGGACTTCCTTGAGGGCGAGATCCGAGCGGTTCTGCTGGAGATGGATCTGGACGATCAATGCGACCCTATATTATAACCCGCACAAGATTAGCATCACGTTTTACCAATTCCATCCCGCGTATAGTCCCATCACGAGACATTGCAACCCCAGAGCAATACCATCAACAAGAAGGAAAAGATAAAACATACGCCTCCAAATTTCCCTGATGTTTCGCCAACAGCGCCAACGCCTCCTCACTCTTGGCCTGAGCCTGTAGCACCGTCCCGGCAAGGACCTGCACGCTCGCATTATCCGGATAATTCTCCACGAGGTCCTGCACCAACTGGGCCGCCGAGTCGACATCCCCGGCCTCATTCTGAGCCAGGGCCTTCACGGCAGCCAGGTCGGGGACATCATCAGCCTCGGCGTCGACGGCGGCGAGGACCTCAGCGGACTGGCCGAGGGCGAGTTGGGCGCGCAGCTGCAGGACACGGGCGGGGAGGACGTTCTCGGAGGAGAGGGCGGAGGTGTCGAAGTCGATCGCTTCTTGGTATTGGCCTTGGTGGTAGGCATTGTGGATGTTGATGAGTTCTGGGTTGGGTGCGGAGGTCGGTTCAGGTTAGTTGTTCGGGCAATTTGGAGGGGAGGGGAGGGGAGGGGAGGGAAACGTACCGCCTTCTGCGGAGAATGGGTCCATGGTGGGTAGGGTCCTGGGAGTAGAAATTGAGGTGAAAGAATAAGAAAAGGAAGGGGAATGGGTTGTGCTTGTATGGGATATACTAGACTATCGGGGAGGGACTTGAGGCTTACGGGAAGTCGTCACGTTGTCATTCCCAGACCGGTAGGCGGTAAGCAAGACTGACAGGAGAGAGAGTAACTAGTACCAGTAAATGGAGGACTATAGCAAGTCCAACTATTATTAACATCTACAGTGGTCTACTGAGTACTGAATAGGAAAGCTTCTTAAATTACCAAGCTAACTGTACAACGCTCGGATTCGTATGAGCGTCCCAGCCGCGTGTTCATATTTATTAAAACAGAGAGAAGAAAGGTAAAGATAGACAGATCCGACCTTGAAGGGCATCTTCGAGAACCCCTGCAGGCGACGGATAGGATTAAATCAATCAATAGAGCACACTTCTGGTCCCTCGAGGAACGAAGTGGCCTTAAATCCAGTCTCGTACATGTAGTCCTCCACCATTTATGCCCGATGATGCAACCATTTCCGTAGTGACTCCCTAAACAATGCGACCGTCCTGCTCAACGAAGGTGAAAGAACAAAGGAAAATAGAATAGAAGAACGTGTGAAAATGCGACCGGGATTCCAAATGTTGAGACACAATCATATGCTTAGTAAAAAACAGAAAAACAAACAAGTACAACCAGGGCATAGGTAGAGGGTATCGCCACATCAAACAAATATAATCCAGTCGCAAACGTAAAATCAGAAAGATCAGTCAGAGCGTCTTGAACCTGCAATGGCGTTGACGCAGCTATGCATCGCTTCCCGGTAACAGAATAGATAAGAAATAAACATAGGTTTCCTTCGGACCCTCCAGTGGTAACCTCAGTAACCGGATTGCGCCCAAGGTCCCTGAACAAAATCAAAAAAGAGAAAGGGAAGGAGAGAGAGGAGGGATGGAGAGAACAATGAATCCAGGAAAATCCGATGCAATCGAATCTGTCATAACGCCGCACCTTTTAATAGCACATGAATGGCGGTGATGGAATAAAAAGATATGGTAGGATGAGAGAAAAAGAATACAAGAGAAATGAAAAGAAGTATGAAGTGGAGCATCTCAACCGCGAGATCAAGGAGGTAAAGATGCGGTGGATGCGGTAGAAATAGTCGGGGTCAAGATCGGCGAAGTATCTTTCTCGTCTAAGCTCGCTGGCGTCTCGCTGCCTTTGTCAGACTGCAAGTCCTTCTCCCGCTCGGTCGATGCAGTCCGCTTGAACACGGTCTGCCCGATCTGGCGGAGGATACCCATGCGTTCGGCTCGGAGCTCATCGGGATCGACCCGGTGGGCAGGGATCGGATCCTCTTTGGTGATCTTGCAGAATAACGTGGAGAACAGATACTGGTCACCGCCGCCATCATACAAGGGAAGGTATCGATAGCCTTCGGACAGACTGCTGAGCTTTGCGGTGAACGAGGCCAGCTGAACGCAGTTGTTGCCTCCCGTGCTGCGTCCGTCCATAGAGCTCCAGACAGTCCAGCGAACGAACACCAAATCGGGGTACTTAGTCTCAAGGGAGAGCTTGAATTGGTCGTTGAAGATGGGACTGTACCCGTTACTCTTTTCGATTCGCGTGCGTCGACGATGGGGATATCCGATTCCCGACATGCCACTGCGGGCCGAGGCGTTCATTCCCCCCTGGCCATAAACAAAGCTTTGGCCTCTGTCATCAGCGCTGAACACCTCAATCTCAACATAGGGATTGATGCTATCATCAGGGCCAATACTCCGAGGGCGGGGCAGTTGCTGGGCTGAAATGACATCAATGGAGAATCGCATGATGTTCCACTGTCGGGCCTTGGGGTCCGCTTCGTTTGGAATCTGAGGAGTGCGCAGGGTTTCCGGTTTGAGCACGTAGCCAGTGCGGTCACTGCCGGCCGCGAACATGGCCTGATTCATCTCCATGCCGACATCATAGGTCTGCCAATTCAGCGCCGCCATTTGAACGCCGCGGCGCCAGAACTTGAGGGGGTCGAAATTAGACGACCTCAGCCGGAAGCCGGAGGGATAAACGCGAGTGAGGTATTTACGGTTGTGCTTCTCGAAAAGCGCTTTGTTCTCCGCATCGCGACAGATGCTCTCGAATGATCGCTCGGCAAAGGAGTAAACATGGTTGAACTTCTGGCTTTCGGCAGACGAGAAGCTGTGCCACTTGTATCCACGAGTATACACTCCCAGATCCGACAGGGGTTTCGTGATTTTGCTCTTCTGGCGTTTTTTCGACTCTTTCTTGGCTGAAACTAGGGCCCCATCGCTGTCCTCCGTGGCGCTGCTCAAACTGGTGGTAGTGAAGGATCTCTTGTCCTGAGTTAGGAACGAGGAGACCGTATCTTGACCGATGGTGGAGGCAGTAGACAGAGGGGGAAGGGCTTCGACGGCCGGATTCTCGGGTACTGCCGGACGTATAAACGGGGAACTGGAGCTGCGCTTCCGTCCTGGAAAATCGCCAAGCGCCAACCCGGACTCCTGCCGCATCGCTGCCTGAGGCTCATCGCACGTTTTGACTTTAACGAGAATGCGACCTTTCAGCTCCTCAGGGGAGGGGAGAACAAAAGTGTTCGTGAGCAGCGGTTCCAACACGAGTTGCTCCTTGAAGGTATCCTTCATAATCTTCACCATGGCCAATTGCTGTTCCGGGTTGCAATGGACTTCGAGTGACAGGATCAGAGGGAAATCGGTGGTGATAAATGCGTAACGATTAATGACAGTAATGCAATCAGCAAACAAGACGCTCGTAGTCATTGTTCTCCCGTGAGACACAATAGGTCGGCCATCGGCACCATCCCAGCAGTCAATCTCAACGCAGCGACATCCTTGCGACAAAGCACTAATGTATGCTTCGGTGCTGGATGCGCCAGCAACCTGGCGGCCCAGAAGGTAGGTGTTATGGGAGCTCGAGATAAAGTATTCGTTTAAGGGCCGGTCGAATCGTGACTGCGCGGGACGAGAGGCATAGATACCATTCCAGGACGAGGCCATGAACGAAGAGAAGGCATCCAGATTCATTCGGGGAACCGGCTCGTCCCCGGATTCAGGGATACTCGGGGTCCGTAATTTCGACTTTCGGACACATTTGTCAAACATCGAAGTCCAATAAATTCGGTCGGAATCGATGTCCTCGTTCTGTACGTCACGCAGGAAGATTAAGAATTCATCGAGTGTGAGGCCCTCATAGTCTGTGGCGATGCTTTTGAAGATCGCGCGGACATCCTTCCGCTCTTTCAGGAGTGCGACAAATTCCTTGAACTCGTCGAAGTTAAGTTTTCCCTTGCTTCCAATATCGGCTTTGGTGAACTGGGTGTGAAGCATATGCTTAGAGCAGTTGATGTGCAAATTGTGACAAATGTTTTCGACGGCACCAAAATCCAGGCGCTCGTCTTCACCAGACTTGACCCCATGGGGAAACAACCGGGACATCTCGCGTTGCCAGTGCGCTTTCAAAGCGGCTTCACTCTGGCCGGATCCTGCCAGACCAGCCATGAGACCGATTCTGTAGCGCGAGATGTCTTCGAGTGTCGTCGTCCAGAGGTCGAGAAGGTGATCATTGGGAGCGATCAGGTGTAGCGTTTTGACCGCTCGGCCCTTGGAGCGCTCGGCATCGACAATGACGATCGTAAACCAGCGACTCTCGGCCTCCTGCGGGATCTGATGCTCCTCACGGTAGTTGCGCGCATCGGCACCCACGCGAATCTCCTTGATGTCGTCGATGTAAAACCGTTTCGCAGGGTTTGATACATCCCAGTAGACTTTGCCCGCGTCGAGATCTAGAAAGAAGCGAACTTGCTTCTTTCTCTTCTTGGTGACCTTTGTCAGAATAGTACCGCGCTGGATCGACGAGTCGACCTTGGGTGCGATCGCGCCGACACTACGGGCAAGCCCCATAGGATTGTCACTCTGCAAGCTCGATGCATCCGAGCCACACCAAGCACCGAGCGAATCCAAAGCGTCGTAGCTGTCCTCTTCGTTGCTGGACTCGAGGGCATTCTCGCGGCTGTTTTGAGTACCCGTTTTGCTGTCACTGCGTCTTCGCATGATGACCGGACCAGAGCTGCGGTCTCGCTTCTCGTTGTGGGAGGTGGATTGACGTCTTCGAGTAAGCTTGTTGGCTGCACCTCGTGAGATTCGGCGCATTAGGCCGGGACCCTTGTTGTTGACGGCATCACCGGATCCCGAGGCGGTAGCAGTGCCTGCAAAAGCCATTGCAGATTCGCCGAGCTCGAGGGAGGGAGCAACAGAAGGAAATGCAGGTAGGCGGTCTCGGTGCCCGTCTGTGGCAGGTTGCAAAGGTGTCGTTGAAGGGCTGGAAGCATTTGAAGGAATATAGGTTGGGTGGAGAGAGTTCGGAGTAGTAGTAAGAGAAGAGGTGTATAGGGGACCCGAAGGGGGGTTGGAGGAAGGAAAGGATGTTACGACATGGTGTAGTTTGGGGGATTTCGGGAGCGATGTAGTCAGTTTTAAATTGGCGTTGGTATCGCCATTCATAGTCGAGGCTGGCGAAGTTGCGGCGTTAGCCATCGCGGACTACACAACCAGGCGTACCACCCGGCTGCGAAACGTGAGACTGTCGACCTGTCGTGAACCGTGCCAGTGCCTGAGTCACCTGGACTCATAAAGGGACGAATGAAGAACGGGGTAGTAGATAAGCGGTCGTGTTGGTTGCGAAAATGGCGGCCTATAGCTGGAATGCAATACGAGCCAAAATAGGGAACGTGTCTGGCTGAGTGATGCAAAAGCCACGTCCTTAGCGGGATTGCTGTGGTTTGGATGTCTGCATCTTGGCCTGCCTTTGATGCAATGCGCAGTGCCCTGCCGGAGAGCGCTCGCGAGAGGGAAAAAAACGATTTCGGGTCCCTGATAACAATTGAAACAGACACCGGCGTTGTGTAACAATGGATCGACGAAAGAAATTGCTGGAGAATTCCGACGTGGGTTCGCTCTGCCCCCTTAAAAGAAAATAATAAAAAATAAATAAATAAGACAGAATAATAAACCACTTCAGGTGAAATGACGGAAATGATGACTTGGCTTCCCGGGGTTGATCACTTTCGGAAATCGGCCTTCGTCACGTTCCTTGATATGCGCTCCTCCGGTCCTTTTCTTGATTTCGTCTTTGATCCCTGGTCAATCGTTCCAGTCTGAAATTGTCTTTTGCTTCCCAACCCCTCTTCGATTTGTCGATCGTCCAAGTACGCGGGGAAAGCTGTCCTTCTGCAAGTGCAAGCAAAGGATGCGGAGACGGACCAATTGAAGGAAGACGATGCGGACGGAGTGAGATTCGTTCTTTCCTTGCTCACTAAATTTGGTTGGAGGAAAAGATGGTGACCAAAGAGAAGAGAGGAATCGAGAAGGATATGTAAGTCAATAGTCGTACGCACTGCGCATGTGTTTAGTTGTCAGCAGAGCCCCCTCCGCGGGCGAGCTGATTGAACAAGGAAATCAGCTGTGCGTTCGGCCGGCGTGATTATTCGCCAGGGAGCGAAGGGAAGGCTGAGGGAAAAAGGACAATCGGCGGCGTCGACGAGGATCGGAAGTGCAATGCAGGATTGCCTGCCAACACAGTGATGCAGGCGGTCCAAAGAGGAAGGGCGCGCGGATGGGCAATCGGAGATTGGACCGAGTAAGAAAGACGTGAAGGTTGCGACAGCTTGTCTAGTGCGGTTCAATGTCTTGCGGGATCAATGTCCTGCACGGTTACGTGGAGAGTCGTAGAGGACCTGCAGCAAAGTCCCGCCAGGATGTAAGTAAGAGTAGGATGATGATGATGATCATGCGACGGAAGACGGGAGACGGTGCCAGCGTTATTCCTGCGTCCAAAGATCCGGGATGCAAGATGCGGAAGACGAGGGCACAGACAATGGTAAGAGATGGGGGGTCAAAAGGAATAAACTAGAGTGCGACGCTCTTCTTGCTCTTATGGAGATTTCCATCAGGCGATTGGCGGTTTGGTTGGACAGAGAAAAGGCTTGGGGGGGAGTGGAGGGAGTATTTTTTTGGGGGGGAAGGATTTTGGAAGGCTCGATTTCGAAGAAACGGATGGATGTTTCAATGAAAGAGAGCTGCAGTGGAGACTCACCGTATTGCCAAGGTCTGGTCACCCCGTCGTCGTATTGTGACCGATACCAGTACGGACTGAAACGGTCGGGTAAATGACCGAAACGGATGACACGAAAACGGAAAATTACACAGCCTCCGTGGAAAATCTGGTGGGTAATGACCGATGCGGTAACGATGATATAAATGAGGGTGGTGGTGATGATAACAGAGGCGTCCGGGATTTGGACCAGGAGGGGTAGAAGAAAATGAATACCAAACGGAGTGAAAAGTTCTCGATGAAAGTTCTGATGACAACAATGACTCCCCGGAGACGGGAGGAGACTACGATCTATATACCAGGAAGGATGCCAGGAAAGGGATGTTGGTTTAGGTATGTAGTCAAATCCACGGGGGGCGGTTGTTGCTGGGCATCCTCGTTGAAACTCGAAGTCTGTCACAGCTGAGCTGTTCAACGGCGGCCCAAGAAAATGATAAAGCTAAATTCCGACAGCTTTTTTTTTGAAAAATAATTTTCGGCTCTCCCTTTCCCCACAACCTTAGGTATCCCTTCACACACAATCGGGATAACCTAGAAACTCGGTTGGTCTCAAGGTATTTTCACCTCTTCCGCCTCTGCCCGTGTATTATTATGATCAATGAGAATGGTTACCGATCCCCGATGTACTTGGAGTACACTTCCTGGTAATCACTACATACATAGTTACTCCCTCTGTATCTACCGTACTACCTACCTATTTCACCTCCAATCTGCATACACCGAGTACTGAAGTCCCGGGCGGCTGAATGCAAGTATGGGGCCAGGATTGATCAGACAAACTGATCTACAGAATCCCTTCGATGAGGTGATGCGATGCGATGCCGTGCGGCCATTTGTTTGGAAGATCAACCCGCACAATGGGGAGACCCTGATCTGCTCTTCCATTGGATGATCATCCCTTGAAGGATGTCACTGTCAAATCTTGCAGGTAGGCCAAACGATAGTAGCCCTAGTGTTTCAACTCTCTTTATTGGATTTTCCTCCTGTCCTCCGTAGTTACTCGTAGGGCATATTGGGAGAAGAAAGGGGGGGGGAGGGGATCTCTGACTCTCATTCTCACGCCACCGACTATTTGACCAACTCCATACATGTGCGACTTACCTATGGGTGGATGGGTGGATCCCAAATCTCATCGCCGTCATAAATAATTTTGTCTGTAACAGATTCATCATTTCATGTCTCCCTTTCAGGTTTCCCAAGCAGAGAAATCCCCACTGGCAGTCCCGCACGCGGTACGGAGTACAGAATACGGAGTCAACCGCCCACCGTCATTTCGACTGCATTAGAAGCATACCTTGCTGGATCCACTCTTGCGCCCCCCTTTTATGGATTATGGATGATGGATTATGGGCACTATCATCATCACTATACGAAATAGTTGATATTATGCATTATTAATCTGATTTGTATTTTGTTTCCTATGAGAATTACTCCTGTCGCGATGATTTGCCTTCCTCAGTTTCGGGATACAACCTTTTTATTTTCTTCCCTTACAATGATTCCCAGGCACCCGACGCGGCGGTCCTTCTGGGGAAAAAAATATGTGGATCAACGGAGATCCTCCTTTTAATTTTCTTCTTTCCCCTAATTCTCACTCGCTTCATTCCCGCCGCCTCCTTGTCAATAACGTCGCAGAGTATGACCTAATTCAGGCGTGTCCAATAATTATTATTAGTTCCTAGCTATCATTATGACGACGATAAAATATTAATTGTGATCGATATGGTTGATTTGGAAACGTGAACGGAACGGAAATTTGCACGTCGGACTAGGGCAGCATATCCCTGTCCATCTCAACCTAACAGGCTCACAGAACCTCGCTCTGCCTCCCTAGCCTCCGGTCTAACCTGCACACCATTACTCCATACTTGAACTAGCATGGATGTACGTCGATGGACCGACCCGATAGTCGATCCAATGACAAAATTACTCGACGTTCCGACAATCAGGTGCCTATCACCTGATGTCCGAGGTGGATCCAATGAAACTTGAATTCACGTTCGACGCATGCAATCCTTCCACCCATTTGCATCAGAGTGCAGGGTGCAGGACAGGTGCAGGACGAGATTCAGGATTTATCGCCAGCAAAGCGGGACATGGACGTCGAAGGGGAGAGGGAGAATGAGGGACGGGAGGGGGAAAGGAAAAGAGGATCAGACGGTTGGTGCCGCTCATCCCTATTATTCTTTGATTATTTCAACATTGATTGTGGAGACTGGAGAGTAGCCGTGATCAGTGATCAGGAGAAAGCAGAAGGCCGTAAGAAACGCTAGAAGAAATTTTTCTGTTCGATTGAGTCATCGCCGCGCCGACCGAACGCGGGGGAAGAACCACTCCTCCGGTATCATTTTTGGTACGGTATAGTTACCGGTACTGTAAGTATATCTGTACTGTACTGTCTGTATGCTGAGGCTGAACCGTGGCAGTGAAACGGCGGTTGGGGCGGTGCGAACAGGAGGAAGGCGAAGGAGCGATCGTCAGGAATGATGGAACGGATTCGGTATAGACTACCCGGCCCTGAAGTCTCCCTTTTCCAGTTTCCACTGACTATTCCGTACTCCGTCTTGTCTACACCGTTCATTATCTCGCCTGTCTCAGCTCATCTCACGGACTGTACGCGCCGTCCCAGAAGAGCGGTCAGCACAACAGCTTCGCCTGTCCGGTACCTGACATCTTTCCATTGGATGCCACTCTGCCCGGTCCTGGTCCGGTTGGCAATTTTTAAATTGGGCGACGATGGCGGTGGAATGTGGAAAGTGGAAAGTGGTGATGAGTGATGACGATAGCCATCCCGATGCTGATTTTCTTTATTCATTTAGTTTTTCGGTTTTAAATTCATTTCTTTTTCTCTGCCCTATAGGACCAAGGAACATGGAGCTTGCTTAGCTGCATCTCCGCCAGGTTCCAACGTGTAAGTATTTTTAGGCACTAACAAACGAGACTACGCGCCTTAGTCTCTACTTGGTGTAGTTGGCCTTGGCGGTGAACCACGAGAAAGAAACGTGAAAGGAAAAGGGAAAAAAGAAAAGAAAAAAAAGTAGGGAAGCAAGCGACTAACTAGGGCACAATGATGCATCATGAGTCCGTGACAGCCCAAAGGCACCTGCACGACAGCAAAAGAAATTCCTTTGCGGGGGGAGGAGTCTTCCCAACCCCGCACGTTGCTGAGTTGGCAATTCTTTTTTTGCCCTCTTATCTTTTCTTCCAGTCAGCCTTGGATTCAGCTGCGTTTCTTGCGCCCCCTGATAGATGGAGCATGGAGCATATCACCTACTCTTACGGAGTACACGATAGGCCTAATTTCAGTCGGTGAACTAACTCCGCCTATCCCCCTACCGCTCATGGGGCCAAATGATGACTTTCGGTGACCAGAGGGGAGACGGAGAAAAAAAATACCCTCTAACAGGACTGGGCAAGACAAAAG